CTTCGAGCAGGTTCAAGGTCGCGGTGGTCCGCCTCGAGATGGACAACCAGACGGCAATGACCTACATCCTGAAGCAGGGCGGCACGGTTTCCCCTCTTCTGCAGGAGGCATGGCAGTTTCTGCTCTGGTGCCACCAGTTCGACATACGGGTAATGCCTGTTTATCTCCCTGGGCGGACAACGCTCGAGCAGATGCACTCTCTCGTCGTATCCTGGCCCCACACGCAGTGGATGCTCCATCGGGGATATTCGGGCTATCTCCCAGTTGTTCGGTCGCTCCAGGTGGATCTGTTTGCATCTGGGGGGACGAACCAGATTCCGGTGTTTTGCTCTCGGATACCGGATCCGAGAGCCATCGCCCAAGACGCTTTCCAGCTCGATTGGACGGACAGGGTTCTGTGGGCGTTCCCGCCACTACCCCTGATTCCCAAAGTCCTCTTGCAGCTTGCCACCCAACCAGCTCGACTTCTTGTGCTCCTTGCACCCCTTTGGTCGGCTCAAAGCTGGTTTCCGGTACTACTCAGGTTTCTGGCTCAGCCTCCTGTACTATTACCCTTTCGACCGGACTTACTATCCCAGAACGGAGCGCCGCACCCGAATCCCAGGATTCAGTGGGTGGCCTGGCCTCTGTCCGGAATCGCCTCCACGCGAGAGGAATTCCTGCACCAGTTGCAGACACAATTCTGGCTTCGCGGAGGGATTCGACAAACGTTCAGTATGAGGATAGATGGGCCTGTTATGCGCTGGTGTGTCGGCAGAGGGATTCTTGATCCCTTTTCTTCAACTGTAATTGAAGTGCTGGAGTTCTTGCAGTCTCGGTTAGAAGCCGGTTTAGCCGCGTCTACTATCCGGGGCTACTCCACGGCAATCTCTGCCTTCCATATCCCTGCCGACGGTGCTCTCTTGGGGCAGCACCCTCTAGTACAGCGCTTTTTAGCAGGCGTGGACAGAATCCTTCCGACTGTCCGGCGGATTAGTCCCCCGTGGGACTTGTCAATCGTTCTTGATTGGATGTCCGGTCCTCTCTTTCACGATCTGTCGTCTCTTTCACTCCAGCTGTTAAGTTGGAAGGCTGCCTTTCTTGTGGCGGTAACGCCTGGCAGGCGGTAGGTGATATCCATGCGATGTCAGCGGATCCTGCTCTGACTGTCTTTCACAAAGACAGAGTCAGTATTCGGTTGCCAGACTCCTACCGTCCTAAGGTCGCAGGCTTTCATATAACGGCCTATCGAACTGCCAGCTTTCACTCAGCCTCCATCGTCCGGTACCTCTCTTCGGGCGTGCTCACGCCTTAGATGTCCGTTAGACTCTCAAGGCTTATATCAAACTTAACGGCGGCTATCAGGAAAGATAAGCAGCTGTTCTGTTGTTATGGCGGTGGCAAGGCTGGTCTTCCGGCGAACAAGCAGACCATTTCTAGGTGGCTTGTCTCTGCCATTTGTTCGAGTTACTCTTACAAAGGATTAACCATCCCTCAGGGTTTAAAGGCTCATTCGGTTAGGGCAGTGGCGACATCAAAAGCATACGCCGCGGCACTGCCCATTGAGGAGATCTGCTCAGCGGCTATCTGGAGCCGACCGAGTACGTTCATCCGCCACTATCAGCTGGACAAACATTCACGGGAGCGTGCTCGGTTTGGCCAGACAGTTCTCACCAGTGGACAGTGTCGTGATTCTCTAACCGAATGAGCCTTAGAAATCACGTTTGCTTTTCTCATGGTGTAGGTGTTAATAAATTCCTCAATTTTTATCGGTGGTGGTATCACTTTGGTGGTGGTTTTTACCGTATGTAGCGATTATCACTCGCTACAGTCACTGTGTTCATCCCTGCACCACGCTGGTTTGGGTTGCTGAGGGATATATATTGGACTCGCCCATACTTTCCCTCCCATTTTGATGGTTGGGGGGTGGGACTTGCGTCAGTCTTTCTAAATTCCACCAATAGCCTATCGGCTAGGCTCCTTTTCCCCCGCCTTGCCACGCCCCCGCCTGATTGACATCAGCGGTCAGGTGACTAGGTGAGTGTATTTTCTCTCTCTGTCGCGGCTTAGGCTGTGCCTTCGACTGAACTAGGGGGTATGTTAGGCAGACAGAATACCGCTCCCGACTCAACATCGTTGGGAGTCTGTCTTATGCTTATATGTACCCCAAGGAGGACTTCTTCTGAAAAAGAATTTTACAAACCTGGAGAGGTTATGAATTCTTTGAAGAAAAGTCCTCCTTGGGGTACGGCTGCCCGTATTGAAATATTGTTACAACTGTCGTAGGCTTTTAAAATGGACATTTTAATGCTTATATGTACCCCAAGGAGGACTTTTCTTCAAAGAATTCATAACCTCTCCAGGTTTGTAAAAATTTCTAGGAATTCGACTCATCACACCAGTAAATCACATAGTCGTTCCAGAGGATCTTTGGATCGAGATACAACAGATGATATCTCAAGCATTGCTCTCTCCGTTGACACTACATGCTTGGCAAAGCATGCTCGGTCTACTCAACTCAGCTCAAGACATGACTTGCAGAGGGAGACTACAGTTGCGCGCCCACTACAAGTATTTGTGAATGCCCACCTAGACAGTCTAGATCCGTTAATACTACCGGACAGCCTGAAACCATATCTCCTATGGTGGACTCAGAAGTCGGATGTTTGCGGAGGAACCTTTTAGACAGAGCCGGTTTGCAACACTCATCTCTATGTGGATGCCTTCCTACAAGGATGGGGTGCGCACTTCAACAACGAAGTGGCAGCAGGGAAGTGGCCGAGTCAGGATCAGAAGTCACACATCAATCTGTTGGAGATGAAAGCAGTATCAACACTTAGCAACATTGGTCCAGCGTACTAAAGAACGCACGACTCATGGTACACACGGACAACTCCACAGTGGTGTTTTACTGGGAACCCGACACTGTTCCAGCTACGCGCGTGGAGCGTATTAAAGCTTGCCTGAAGACCAGAGGGTACTCCTCCAGAGCAGCGAAAGCAGTTACACTAGCTCTACGCAGATCAGCTCGCAACTTGTACGACGACAAGTGGCAGAGATTTGAACAGTGTGCAAAGAGGAAAGGCTTTACAGCAGTGAAAGCAACACATTCCCAAGTGGCGGAAAACTTATGTCATCTACGAAATACGAGACACTTAAAAGGTTCAACACTCTCAACTTACTTGGCTGCCCTCAGTACAGTTATCACCATGAAAACAGGTATCAAGCTTACCAAAGTACCAGAGATTCTGGCACTACTACGCTCCTTCAAGTTGGAAGACCAACAAAAGGCTCCTGCCTGGGATCTCAACATATTTCTAGAACATCTCACCAGTGATGCCTACGAGCCTCTAGAACGGACATCCTTTGAACTACTAACTCAGAAAACGCTGTTCCTGATCGCCCTAGCAACAGCTGCACGGATGTCAGAAATACATGCTCTGGACTTTGAACAAACACGATTTGAATCAAGACATCGTGACATCGTACATCTTGGACTGAGATGGGATTTTATCGCCAAGAACCAGCTGTCCGGTCAGCCTGACAGACAGTTCCACATTCCAGCACTATCTACAGTCCTTGGGACACAGGATACGCAGAATCTATCCTTATGCCCTATCAGAGCACGTGAAGTCTACCTACAGAGAACTAAAACAAGGAGATGAAAATTCAAGCGCCTATTCATCCCCTTATCCAGTGAGACGCCCACAGAAGTCTCACGGACAACAATCGATCTGGATGAGAGCTGTTATACTAAGAGCCTATAAAGCAGCAGGACTTGAGCCTCCACGAGCCTCCAACCCACACTAAGTCAGAGCCCTGGCGTCAACGCTTGCTTTGCATGGAAACTGCTCGATTACAACTATAATGGAGGGCTGCTTTTGGAGATCGAACACAGTGTTTGCCAACCACTACCTCAGAGACATTGCCACCGAAGACATCTCAGGCATTCACCAGTTTGGGACACTTGTTATAGCACAACAACTAACGGTTCCACAAAGGCGCTGAGTACATCTCACCCCATTTATCACTTGACTTGTGAAAACCAACGCTCTGGAGAGCAATAGCTATAAGTGCATGCACACGTCTAGGACAGACTAGCATGAGTGATAGACCCTGTACTTGTATAGGACATACTCGTACATGAAGAAGGGTCGCATCTCCACTTGATGCGCGCATCAAGAGATGGAGTTGCAATAGATAACTAATGGAATATAAGTATCTAAAATCCACACGAAAATGTCAGGAGAAGTTTCGGAAGAAATCTGATAAGTTGTGGTTCCCCCAGACTCATCAGAGAGAAGTTGAAAGAACAGAATCATAAGTTCCCATGGGGGGTAATACAGGACGTAAGTCAACAACTAGTGAATCCAGAACGTGGCCTGACCCACCACCGTTTCCGACGGATTCTGCAAGCATAATTAGCATGAGTCAGGATAAGGAAAAATATGTAATTTTCTGACTAAAATTGATATTTTATACTTATCCTGTCTCATGAGGTTAGCCCTCCCAACCTCCCCTCTTATGGCACTCTGGATTTCCCTGTAAATCCGGGTGTCAGGCATACATACGGAGAGAGTGACAAACTTGGCTGGTCATGTGACAAAAAAGGGGGCCAAAAAGGAGGAAAGGGAGACTACTCGAGGGTGAGTGATTTTACGTCCACTTTTTTAGAAGGGAACTTCAAGGGATTTCAAGTGTTCCACTATCATTCGCAAGAGGAAGGAGACAAGCATCATTAGCATGAGTCAGGATAAGTATAAGATATCAATTTTAGTCAGAAAATTACATTCTTATGACTGAGGTAACATTATGTTAATGATGTGAACTTTTCCTTTGTCAGAGTCAAAATATGAGCAAGTGATTTTCAGCACAGTGGTCTCAGGGATCTTTGTTCAGGTTGTATTTAAACCTTAGCCATGTCAGGTTTAATTGTGTGATGACTACATACCTTTCCAAGCAGCATTAAACCCAACTTATTCAGTTATCTTGGGTAATAAGTGATTGTCCCCTCCTTCCAGAAAAGGATCACGTCTGACAAGCGTTACAGTGAGCGGCGCCTGGACGTCCTGTCAGCTCTTGTATTGGCTGAGTCAGCTCTCAACGGACCAGGTACATGTTGTCTCAGCTGCCCGGTGGTTAATTCCGCCACAGAATTCTGCTTCTGAGTCTCATAAATTATCATGGATTTTGTGACAGTGTCTCCATGACTATTGTTGCTGTTCCAACCCTGTATTATTTTAGGGATTATGACCATGCCCCTTGAAGTCTACACTATGGTGACCTCAATTAATGTTTCTTCATATCAATGGAACTTGAATCTGAAGTCATAGGTATATTCAATTAAGTCTGTTGTGAAATTCCATTTGTTTCTAAAACATATCATTTACTACTAAGAAATATAGTTAGGAGCTGTCTTGCTCTCTAAAAAACCAAGACACCTCTTGTTTTTTTACAAGTAAAACATACTTTGTAGCCTTTTAATCTGTAATAATAACTAATGTTGTAACTGCTTTTATTTACTGATAACAGAAGCCTTGTCATTTTCTAAGGTACCAAAGAAAGAAGACTGATTGCGAAACTGGCCCTTGCTGTTGGTACCAAGATGGTGAGTGGGCAGCAAGTTCCTCCACTCTGTTAGACCTCAACAGAATAACAATATTGTTGCTGTTTTCAGCAGTCTGTACTGTAGTAGGATTGACAATATGTTACAGATGAAATTTAATGTCAAAATGAGGCAGTTTTGGCATTAACCTGACACTGGTTGGTTCAGGAAAGTGAAATGCTAGTGGTATTGTTTTCTGTTACACATCATTGTCTGTGTATGTATGTGTTGATGTCCGAGTGTGATTCCTGGTGGATACTCTCACTGTGGATAGTGGATGGGTCCCCAGCCGGTCATAGAGTTGACACTAGGACAAGATGGTTACTGTGGAGGATAGTGGATGGGTCCCCAGACAGTCATAGAGTTGACACTAGGACAAGATGGTTACTGTGGATAGTGGATGGGTCCCCAGCCGGTCATAGAGTTGACACTAGGACAAGATGGTTACTGTGGATAGTGGATGGGTCCCCAGCCGGTCATAGAGTTGACACTAGGACAAGATGGTTACTGTGGATAGTGGATGGGTCCCCAGCCGGTCATAGAGTTGACACTAGGACAAGATGGTTACTGTGGATAGTGGATGGGTCCCCAGCCGGTCATAGAGTTGACACTAGGACAAGAAGATGGAGTTACTGTGGATAGTGGATGACAAGTCCCCAGCCGGTCATAGAGTTGACACTAGGACAAGATGGTTACTGTGGATAGTGGATGGGTCCCCAGCCAGTCATAGAGTTGACACTAGGACAAGATGGTTACTGTGGATAGTGGATGGGTCCCCAGCCAGTAATAGAGTTGACACTAGGACAAGATGGTTACTGTGGATAGTGAATGGGTCCCCAGCCGGTCATAGAGTTGACACTAGGACAAGATGGTTACTATGGATAGTGGATGGGTCCCCAGCCAGTCATAGAGTTGACACTAGGACAAGATGGTTACTATGGATAGTGGATGGGTCCCCAGCCAGTCATAGAGTTGACACTAGGACAAGATGGTTACTGTGGATAGTGGATGGGTCCCCAGCCAGTCATAGAGTTGACACTAGGACAAGATAGTTACTGTGGATAGTGGATGGGTCCCCAGCCGGTCATGGAGTTGACACTAGGATGAGATGGTTACTGTGGATAGTGGATGTGTCCACAGCTAGTCATAGAGTTGACACTAGGACAAGATGGTTACTATGGATAGTGGATGGGTCCCCAGCCAGTAATAGAGTTGACACTAGGACAAGATGGTTACTGTGGATAGTGGATGGGTCCCCAGCCGGTCATAGAGTTGACACTAGGACAAGATAGTTACTGTGGATAGTGGATGGGTCCCCAGCCGGTCATGGAGTTGACACTAGGATGAGATGGTTACTGTGGATAGTGGATGGGTCCACAGCCAGTCATAGAGTTGACACTAGGACAAGATGGTTACTGTGGATAGTGGATGGGTCCCCAGCCAGTAATAGAGTTGACACTAGGACAAGATGGTTACTGTGGATAGTGAATGGGTCCCCAGCCGGTCATAGAGTTGACACTAGGACAAGATGGTTACTATGGGTAGTGGATGGGTCCCCAGGACAAGATGGTCATAGAGTTGACACTAGGACAAGATGGTTACTATGGGTAGTGGATGGGTCCCCAGCCAGTCATAGAGTTGACACTAGGACAAGATAGTTACTGTGGATAGTGGATGAGTCCCCAGCCGGTCATAGAGTTGACACTAGGATGAGATAGTTACTGTGGATAGTGGATGGGTCCCCAGCCGGTCATAGAGTTGACACTAGTACAAGATGGTTACTGTGTGTGAGCAAGTGTGTTATATAACATATGTTATATTTGGGATTACACTTTCTTAGTATAGTACAGATTCTAGTACTTTTGTTGGGTTGAGTCCCATCTGGGATTCTAATCCACACCCTCAGAGTCAGGCGCCTAATCGCCAGCACACAAAGTCAGACGCCTAGACCGCTCAGCCACCGCGGCTTCCACACTTTCCATATGGCATTGTGTATTTTCAAATGTGTGTTATATAATTTACACAATGCCATTTAGAAAGTGATCAAATGTAACATGGTATATTTGGGATTACACTTTCTTAGTAAAGTACAGATTCTAGTACTTTTTAGGTGCCTGACTCTGAGGGTGTGAGTTTGAATCCCTGATAGGACTCAACCCAAGAAAAGTACTAGAATCTGTACTTTACTAAGAAAGTTTAATCCCAAATATAACATGTTACATTAGACCACTTTCTAAATGGTATTTTGTAATCATAGCTTTCGGCCATGAGAGCCGTGCCAATTTTCGCTTATCAGAGGGGTACACAAAGTCCGCAGTCTAGACTACCAGTTGTCTAGTTTCATTTTTGTGGCAGTCGCTGTAGCTGAGCGGGCTAGGCAGCTGAATTAGTGTGCTGGCGATTAGGCGCCTGACTCTGAGGGTGTGGATTAGAATCCCAGATGGGACTCAACCCAAGAAATTACAAGAATCTGTTCTTTCCTGAGATAGCATATGTTACAAGTGTGTTATACTCTGAGAGTTTGGATCACCCTGAATTTGAGATTCCACTTTCTCAGTCAAGTACAGATGTTGGTACTTCTTTGTTCTTTTTCATAGAGATCGTCCTTGGGGTACATATATGCATTTTCTGCGGCTGAAAATGTCCTGTGACAGTTGTATCAATGTTTTAATAAAAATATTGTACAATAAATAAAATCTTTTTTATCTATCATACGGCCCCCACCACGTGGGGTTACCTCCCTGCTACGCATGCACAGCCAACCAGGTAAGCACCTAGGCCCGTATCATCATTCCTTCTGCTGTCACTCCACTGAACAGACGTGTCGAGTTGCCAAAGCTGAATATCTTGTCTTCAACGATAAAGAGAATAATGTCTGAGACCTCCCAACCTGTATGTATGGTCTTTATTTGTCCTTGACGGAACAGTTTATAAGACTTTTGCAGTCGGTTATTTTGATTTTGTATTAAATTTTTATGCTAGCTTTCCCGTGGTTTACGCACGTGTTGCTTTTCCATGGCGGGAAGTTTAGCGTGCCACGTGGTTGTCATATTGCGTTCTTAACCAAGTATTTCTTCCCGTGGTCGCATTCACGTAATTTTCAATGTTTTGTACGTGTATATTTATGCTGCTGGCTCCGCTGTTAGCTACATGCTTGCGTGTTTGCTTTCAGGCGTTTACTGGATGTTCTGTCTGTGGGCAGAGCATCCCCCGAGCTGACCAGCTCGACAAGTGCTTATGTTGTCTTGAAAAAGTCGGCCATAATCCTGACGTTTGCGAGCTGTGCATGGGCTTCTCCCCCCGGGCCCAGAAACGGAGGGCCACGGATTTTCTCTTTTATAGAGAATTGAGAGAGGCGGGAGGGGAACTGTCCCAGGAGGTCCCCCCGTCTAAAGCGAAAAAGGCTAAAACCGGCCAAAAAGCTAAGTTGCCTAAGGCGCCTCCTCCATCACACAGTGGGTTTGACATGTCGTTAATAACGCAACTTTTTCAGCAGCACATGGACTCAGTGAAGTCCCTTGTTCATGAGTCGGCTGGAGGTCTCCGGCAGGAGTTCCTCGCCCACTCTGAGCAGGGGACCCTTACAGACACTGCTCCGCATCTTGCCGTCCCTGGTGCAGGACGTGGTGGATCCCCTCCTGGTTGGGACACGCCTCCGGTTCGACTTGCCCAACCTTGTCAAGAGGTACCAGCTTGGGGACGAATCACTGTTCTTTGTACCGGTGGTCGACGATGTGTGTGTTTACTTCGGTCGCCCTGGGGGGAGGCTTGGCCTCCTTTGGTACAGCCCCAGCTGCCAAGCAAGGGCGTTTAGTGCCACCGTTTGCCCTTGGGGGCGCCCCCCTGCAGCAGGCTTACCGGACCTACGAGGAGGTCTGTCGGAATGCCATGCAGCAGGTGCGGGTGGTGATCCACGAGGCCTACCTTTCCTCAATTCAGAGGTCGGCCCTGGAGGCTGAGGGGAACGCTGGGGACGTGTCCCCGCATGTTGTTCTTCTACGCCAGTTATCCGAAGTTCAGGCCCACCTAGCGCGCGACTCCTTGCGGTCAGCGGCTTCTACGGTGATGTGCGCAGTAATGGGGATGCGCCAAGCTGTGGCTGTCTACGTCTCGCTACTCGGCAGCTACACAGCAGACCTTGCTGGACCTTCAGTTCCGTCTGGGAGCGATGTTGTTTCCTGGGGCTCAGCAGGTCATGCGGGAGGCTGCTGCTGCAGCTACCTCCTTCAAGGATTCTAAGGCCTTGTTGGAGCCCCGACCTCCCCGTTAACCCAACAGGCTGTCGCCGTTGGTCCGTCCCAGTCATATCATCTACTCGGGACCACTCACACTCTCTTACCACACGTCCCAGTGGGGGGCCGCCTCTCTCTATTCCTACCAGAGTGGGAGAAGGCTACCAGCAACACTTGGGTGCTTTCCACCGTCAGTGTCGGCCATCTACCACTGTGGAAGCGAGGCCCGCCAGAATTCACCGGCATACGTCGCACTCCGGTGCCGTCATGTCAGGTCAGGGTGGGTATACTGCTCGACGAAGTTCAGGCTTTGCTGGACAAGTCCGCAATAGAGCGCATACCACCGGGCGAGGAACAGGCCGGATTTTATTCCACGTACTTCCTCGTTCCGAAGAAAGACGGCGGGTTCCGTCAAGATGGAGACACTTCGCTCAGTGATCTCCTCTGTTCAGCCTGGCCATTGGCTTACGTCGATCGATCTAAAGGATGCGTATCTACATGTGCCCATTCATCCATCGTTCAAGCAGTACCTCCGGTTCTCTTACGACTGGATGAATTACCAATTCACGGTGCTCCCCTTCGGCATATCCACTGCCCCTAGGATTTTCACCAAGCTCATGTCAGTGCCAGCTACCCTCGCTCGATCGCAAGGAAGGCGTTGTTACCCTTACCTCGACGACTGGTTGCTCAGCGCGCTAACTCAGCCAGCGAGCGTAGATTCTACTCACACGGTGATAGACATTCTAGTTCGACTGGGGTGGATCATCAACCTCAAGAAATCCGACCTGGTACAAACCAAGGACTTGGTTTTTCTCGGGGCGCGGTTCCAAACTCACAAGGATCTTGTCTCCTTGTCGCCCGACCGGGTCACCAGAGTACGGGAGATGGTGTCTTCGTTCCTCCCCCAGCCCCAGGCACCAGCGCGGACTTGGCTCCGTGTACTGGGCTATATGGCGGCGACTATCTCTGTAGTGTGGCGGGCGCGGTTGAGGATGCGCCCTATACAGCAAGCTTTGGCGAGTCTGTGGGCTCACTCGGAGGATCTGGAGGAGAGTCTCACAGTACCCGGGTGGTTGTCTCCTCACCTTCAGTGGAGGACCAATGTCTGGAATCTCTCCAAGGGGATCCCTTTGGAAATCCCGACGCCAGCTCTTACAGTTCAAACCGATGCGTCCCTCACGGGCTGGGGTGTGTATTCTGGGCAGTCTGTCAGTGTCCGGACTCTGGTCTGAAGCCGAAGCCCGCCTTCACATCAACGTCTTGGAACTGAGAGCTGTGCGGTTGGTTTTCGAGCGCTTCCGGGAGCATGTTCAGGGCCAGGTGGTTCGTCTTCAGTTGGACAACCGTACGGCCATGACGTACATCCTGAAGCAAGGCGGCACGGTGTCCCTAGCGCTCCTTCGGGAGACATGGGAGTTTCTCCTCTGGTGCGACCAGTGCGACTGTCAGGTGCTTCCTGTTTATCTCCAGGGGCTGGAGGACGTGCGAGCAGACGCTCTCTCTCGACGGATCCTGGCCCCGCACGGGTGGATGCTCGACCGGCAGATATTCTGAGTTATCTCCCAGTTGTACGGATCGTTCCATGTGGATCTGTTTGCGTCCGGTGGGACGAATCAGATACCCGTGTTCTGCTCTCGAATACCGGACCAGAGGGCGTTGGCTTCCGACGCCTTCCTGCTGGATTGGACGGGCAAAGTGCTCTACCGCTACCACTCATTCCCCAGGTCCTCTCCCAGCTGTCCACCCAGCCAGCTCGGCTACTTGTGCTACTGGCACCGCTATGGCCGTCACAGAGCTGGTTTCAGGTAATTCTCAGGTTTCTGGCTCAGCCTCCTGTTCTATTACCTTTGCGAACGGACATTCTCACTCAGAACGGCGCACCATACCCCAATCCAAGGATTCAGTGGGTGGCTTGGCCTCTGTCAGGTCTAGCCTCGAAGCAAGCGGAATTCCTGCAGCAGTTGCAGACACAATTCTGGCTACGAGGTGGGATTCGACAAACGTTCAGTATGAGGATAGGTGGTCCCGCTATGCGCGCTGGTGTTCAGATAGGGGGATTGCAGATCCCTTTTCTGCGGATTTAGTCAGAGTATTGGAGTTTTTGCAAGCTTGTTTGGAAGAAGGCGTGGCGGCTTCGACCATTCGTGGCTACTCCACCGCTATTTCCACTTTTCACACCCCTGTTGATGGTGCTCTTCTGGGGCAGCACCCTCTCGTACAGCGCTTTTTAGCTGGCGCGGATCAGGTTCGACCTGCTGTCAGGCGAACCAGCCCACCTTGGGATTTGTCAATCGTGCTAGATTGGCTGTCCGGTCCTACGGTCTCACGTCTATCGGCTATTTCCATTCAGTTGTTAACATGGAAGGCTGTATTTCTGGTGACGGTAACATCTGGGTGTAGGGTCAGCGACTTACATGCTATGTCGGCAGACCCGGTGCTGACTGTGTTCCATCCAGATCGTGTCAGTATTCGCCTCCCGGATACTTACCGCCCGAAGGTCAATCACGCTTTCCATGTGACAGCTCCTATCGAACTTCCTACTCTTACCCAGCCTTCCACATCGGGGACCTCTCCTATATCAAGCACTCCGAGCAGGATGTCGAAGGACTCTCAAGGTCTATATCAAACAAACACATGGGATCCGTACGGGTACCCATCTGTACCCATCTGCTGTTACGGTGGTGGGAAGGCTGGGGTGCCTGCGAGCAAACAGACCCTGTCTCGCTGGCTTGTTTTGGTCATTTGTGCTGCTTATCAGGCTAAAGGCAAGCCTCCCCCTGAGGGGTTGAAGGCTCACTCGGTCAGGGCAGTAGCCACGTCAAAAGCTTTTGCATCGGCACTACCCATTGAAGAGATATGCTCTGCCGCTATTTGGAGCCGGCCTAGCACTTTTATCAGGCACTATCAGCTCGATACACATTCACGTGATCGTGCGCATTTTGGCCGTTCTGTTCTCTCCAGTGGACATTGTCCTGCCACCCTGACCGAGTGAGTCTTGGTTATCTGGTTAGTTGACGCTGCTTTCAATTGTGTTTTATTGATATGTCCACTGTTGTGTGATCTAACTCCTTTCGATTCTCTCCGGAGATTATGGTCGGTTGTGAGTTGGTTTTTCCCCCCCTACGGTACTCTCTAATAGACCATGAGGTGGGTGGGGTTGTTTACTTTCGCACTTCGTGCGATCTCATTATGCTTAACCTACGAGGTCGACTCTCAGTACCTTTCCTCCCTGTCGGTTACCCTCCCATCATGCCTCTCGCGGAAGCTCCGGGACACGTGACAGGTGTGTGTTGTGCCGATGTGTACTTTGACAGAATTCCCTCCTCCCTGGCCTCCGGTCTTTGGGAGTCTGTGTTTATGCATATATGTAACCCCAAGGACGATCTCTATGAAAAAGAATTAAACAAACCTGTAGAGGTTTTCAATTCTTTGAAGAGAGTCGTCCTTGGTGTAGGGCTGCCCGCCTCCCCGCAATTCTGTTCACTGATTTATTCAGCAGAAGGAATGATGATACGGGCCTAGGTGCTTACCTGGTTGGCTGCGCATGCGTAGCAGGGAGGTAACTCCACGGGTGGGGGTGATAATAGATAAAAGATGTAAAAGATTTTTATTTTATTGTACAACTGTCACAGGACATTTTCAGCCACAGAAAATGCATATATGTACCCCAAGGCCGACTCTCTTCAAAGAATTGAAAACCTCTACATGTTTGTTTAAGTTTGTTTGTATGTTGACTGTTTCAAGTGATGTATGTCTTGAATGTTCCAGAAGTCCTTCAAGGAAGACGAGATGAATGGTTTGTCTGAGACAATGAGGAAACTGGAAGTCATCAGTGAACTGAGAGAGAAGTAAGACAACTCATAGGTCATGAAACTTTCACAACACTCGCTCACATTCAGTTGCTGACGTAATGTTCGTCCCTGATCTAGAGAGCAGTTCATCCCTGATCTAGAGAGCAGTTCATCCCACTACAGCATGTTTTAGCATGAACTAGTAGCTGCAATCATTGAAAATACACAAACTGTTCTTTATAAGAACAAAGAGGAAGAAGCCTGACATGAAACGTTTCCTTCTTAAGACTGAAAGAACACTGTCTGTCAGTATGTGTTGATTCTCAAATTCAAATATGAATGTTGTCCCAGAAATTGGTACTTGAGAGTGAAGACTGATCTTCCGTAACCCATGCTTGTTGTAAGAGGCGACTAACGGGATCAGGTGGTCAGGCTCGCTGACGTGGTTGACACATGTCATCATATCCCAATTGCGTAGATCGATGCTCTGGCTGTTGATCACTGTATTGTCTGGTCCAGACTCGATTATTTACAGACGGCCTCCATATAGCTGGAATATTGCTGAGTGGCGTAAAATTAAATTCACTCACTCACTCATTCACTTCGGTTGAGAGTCATTGCTGCTGTGTGTTGCAGGTTACGTGGAGCATGTGACTGCAGCTTTATCTACTGGCACCGTGTCATCTTCCCGCTGTACCTCACAGACGTGTGTGACAACGTCACCGACACACACCGGATACATGTAAGTATCGACACACTCACTCACTCATCCAGCCGTCAGTTTCCTACTCTTTGTGGAACAATGTCTATTTGTCAGTAAATTCAACTTCTGCACTTAGGTTTCTGTGTATTGTTAATATCTTGTATTACTTCCTGCAGTACATGTTCGGAGCTATGCGGGACTGTGTTGTGCCGATGCAGAAGGTCCGGCATCTCAACTCTCCTCAAGACCTGTTGGACGCATTTGACAAGGAGGTGACAATGCAGGTTCACGAGGTAGGACAGTCCCTGACTATAGATGTGATGGAGTGGTGTGTCATGGTGCCAGACTATAGATGTGATGATGGATGGTGTGGTGTGTCATGGTGCCTGGACTATAGATGTGATGGAGTGATGTGTCATGGTGCCTGACTATAGATGTGATGGAGTGGTGTGTCATGGTGCCTGGCTATAGATGTGATGGAGTGGTGTGTCATGGTGTCATGGTGCCCGACTATAGATGTGATGGAGTGGTGTGTCATGGTGCCCGACTATAGATGTGATGGAGAGGTGTGTCATGGTGCCTGACTATAGATGTGATGGAGAGGTGTGTCATGGTGCCTGACTATTGATGTGATGGAATGGTGTGTCATGGTGCCTGACAATATATGGAAGTTATGTTCATGAATGGTGTCTCCACGCAATCTTGTCTTTCACTATTTCAACAGATGCACACACTGTGATATATTACCTTTGTGGTGAACCTTAGCAAACTTTACGGAGCATATGTGTTACGTAAGACTGAAACGTTATCACATTAATTTAGCTTTTAGACAAAACCAAATTGGAAAACTGAATAATTCATCTTTCCCAAAGACCATTCCATGTACAAACCAAGTCACTAGGTAATTTGAGTTCACTATGCTATAAGTAGTCATCAGTTGTATGTTTTTCCAGCATCTGATTGACCCGCTGTGTCGTGCCATCGAGACTGACCTCCGGCTGCAGATTCACCTTCACCTTCAGCTTGATGACCGCAACCCATTCAAGGTCGGGATGAAGGATCTGTCCCATCTCCTCAAGATTCGACCCATCCGCTTCTTCGAGAGGGACATCAACATCAAAGGTTGGACAGAGATGGGGATAATTTACGTTTGTCCTGACTTGAGTTTACTTATGTTTACTTGTGTACATGAAACATACTGCATGTTTCCTCTTTTGTGGAAGATTGGATGTGCTAACCATGTCTTTGGTCCTGGATGTTACTCCTCAATCCTTCCTGATTTTCGAGATAAAGCTGCAGAAAGATCAACTTAGATTTCAAGCTGTCTTATTTGCTTGTGGAACACACAATACTTATGTTTGGTCGGATTTTTGCCTCCTCAGCAACTGTGGAGCACTATCTGAACCGAACCTTCTACAACTTGACGACTGTGGCTCTCCACGACTGGAAGACGTACGGCGAGATGCGCAACATGGCCGAACAGAAGTACAACCTGTCACTGATGGAGTCTCACCTCCCCAGTCAGACTCTAGAACAGGTAGGAGAGGATGTTCTGTCACCTTCCTGTATAGGATGGAAAGTAGTACGATTCCTTGCTGATGTATCACAGAAAACATCTCTCACTGCCATGTCCTGTATGACTACACACTACTGACTATTCACATAACTTATAGCCTCGGAAGCATCTGTTTCTGTTTTCTGCCAGGCAGTTTTCTGTACTCTGTTTTGGTGTCCATGTTTCAGGGTCTCGATGTGCTGGAAATCATGAGGAACATCCATGTGTTTGTGTCCAAGTACCTCTACAACCTCAACAACCAGGTGTGTAGCTCCAGCTTTGCACTGACACCTCAACTTCTACCCCATTTTACACCTCAACCGCTACCCCAATGTACACCTCAACCTCTACCCCAATTTACACCTCAACCTCTACCCCAGTTTACACCTCAACTTCTACCCCAATTTACATCTCAACTTCTACCCCAATTTACACCTCAACCTCTACCCCAGTTTACACCTCAACTTCTACCCCAATTAACAACTCAACTTCTACCCCAATTTACACCTCAACTAACACCAAACCTCGACAGATCAATGGCTTATGCTGCCTTGTTTACAGCTGATCCTTTCAGCCATGTTTCACCTTGCCATTTGGTTTTAGTGTAGTGACATGGCAAATCTGTTCTTTCATTATCAGAAAAGTTCAATATACAGATAGGCAAACCAATCAGCTGTTGCAGCAGGTCCCAGATCGTTGTGGAGTTTCAGTGTAAGTCCCTCTGTCAACAATATGTGACCTTGCCTAGTGTATGCCTACTGGTAGCATTCTTATTTATTGTGTTTAGTCACCAGTGAAATGCCATTCATCTTACCGTTTGTATTTTCCTATCACTGCAGATATTTGTGGAGAGGACAAGCAACAACAAGCATTTGAACACCATCAACATCCGTCACATAGCCAACTCTATACGAACTCATGGCATAGGCATCATGAACACAACTGTAAGTTACATGTTCATCAGCTTGTGTAGGCATCATGAACACTACTGTAAGTTACATGTTCATCAGCTTGTGTAGGCATCATGAACACAACTGTAAGTTACATGTTCATCAGCTTGTGTAGGCATCATGAACACAACTGTAAGTTACATGTTCATCAGCTTGTGCAGGCATCAGGCATCATGAAGCTTGTGTAGGCATCATGAACACAACTGTAAGTTACATGTTCATCAGCTTGTGTAGGCATCATGAACACAACTGTAAGTTACATGTTCATCAGCTTGTGTAGGCATCATGAACACAACTGTAAGTTACATGTTCATCAGCTTGTGTAGGCATCATGAACACTACTGTAAGTTACATGTCATCATCAGCATCATGAACACTACTGTAAGTTACATGTTCATCAGGCATCATGAACACAACTGTAAGTTACATGTTCATCAGCTTTAGGCATCATGAACACAACTGTAAGTTACATGTTCATCAGCTTGTGCATCATGACACAACTGTAAGTTACATGTTCATCAGCTTGTGTAGGCATCATGAACACTACTGTAAGTTACATGTTCATCAGCTTGTGCAGGCATCATGAACACTACTGTAAGTTACATGTTCATCAGCTTGTGTAGGCATCATGAACACAACTGTAAGTTACATGTTCATCAGCTTGTGTAGGCATCATGAACACAACTGTAAGTTACATGTTCATCAGCTTGTGCAGGCATCATGAACACTACTGTAAGTTACATGTTCATCAGCTTGTGCAGGCATCATGAACACTACTGTAAGTTACATGTTCATCAGCTTGTGCAGGCATCATGAACACAACTGTAAGTTACATGTTCATCATGTAGGCATCATGAACACTACTGTAAGTTACATGTTCATCAGCTTGTGTAGGCATCATGAACACTACTGTAAGTTACATGTTCATCAGCTTGTGCAGGCATCATGAACACTAGGCATGTTCATGAACACTACTGTAAGTTACATGTTCATCAGCTTGTGCAGGCATCATGAACACTACTGTAAGTTACATGTTCATCAGCTTGTGCAGGCATCATGAACACAACTGTAAGTTACATGTTCATCAGCTTGTGCAGGCATCATGAACACTACTGTAAGTTACATGTTCATCAGCTTGTGCAGGCATCATCATGAACACTTGTGCAGGCATCATGTAAGTTACATGTTCATCAGCTTGTGCAGGCATCATGAACACTACTGTAAGTTACATGTTCATCAGCTTGTGCAGGCATCATGAACACTACTGTAAGTTACATGTTCATCAGCTTGTGCAGGCATCATGAACACTACTGTAAGTTACATGTTCATCAGCTTGTGCAGGCATCATGAACACAACTGTAAGTTACATGTTCATCAGGTTGTGTAGGCATCATGAACACTACCGAACGTGTATTACTTTTGGCCTACACTAACAAAGCTCCAGCTGTAAATAGCCTCAGTGCTTGACTTACATTCGGCAGGCTGTGAGGAAGGAGATAACAAACTGTGAGTCGTTGTTCCAGGTTAATTTCACGTACCAGTTCCTTCTCAAAAAGTTCTTCATCTTCTCCCAGTTCATGTATGATGAACACATCAAGTCCAGATTGATCAAAGTGAGTATTCATAGAACAAATTATTCTTTTCAGAAGAAGTCCTCCTTGGGGTACATATAAGCATTAAAATGTCCATTTTAAATCCTACGACAGTTGTAACTATATTTTTAATAAAATATTTACAAAACAAAAAGCTCGTTTTGTCTTGTGAGACCACCGCTACAGGGCCCCACTGGACCAACACAGCCAAGAGCAGGTAACTCTCGCCGTCTACCTCGTACCTCACTTTTCATGCTGTCGTTCTGTTGAATAGACGTGCGTGGTGTTCGTTTCGAGTTTGTTCTCCTACCGATACGATGAGTGTAAAAGAGCTCAATCTGTATGTATGGTTCCTTTCTCTACGCACGGGCGTTAGATGGACGTCATATGTTGATATTTTCATTCATCTTTTGTTGTAACTTTGCCGTGGGTTCTCTGTTTTCCAGCCATGTGGCAGGCAAAATGGCGGACCGCGCGATCGTGGTTTCCTTGCTATATGTTCTTGGTAGCTTGTAGTAGGGAGTTCATATATATTATGTTTGCATATTATATGGATAGGCTTGCCTACATTCTCTTTCTTTTCAGCGATTGTGGTAAGTCGTTGTTGAGTAATTTTGATAGTGTTCATTTCGTATCACTCAACTTTACTCTATCACTAGTATGTACACGCAGGTTTGGCTAGCCTTTTTTCTGCTTTGCATTGTATGTTTAGTATTTAAATGGCTGTAGCTTGTAGCATTTAAATATCGCCCATGCGGGTTATTCTTGCTATTTACTTGTGTTTATGTGTTTGCTGCTTCACAGTTCCTGCTAGTAACACTGGCGTGGTTCTGTTTGTTGCAGTTTAAGCCCTGTGCATTGTGCCGTGCACACTACCGCCACAGGATGGTCATAAAGTGTGCCTCCGGTGTTTAGCCGAGGCGCTCATGACGATCAAGGATGCTCATAAACGCCCTTGCGTCAATATTCCTGTTACATTATGTGGTGTTATGATACATATTTCATACGTTTACCCGCAACGTGGCTCATAGGCCGAGGTTGTGTTTTTTGTCTGGGTTTCTGCGCCTCACGCGCATTCTTTCCGACACGCAGATTTTATGTTTTTCACTAATCTGCTTCAGGCTGGGGATAATATTTGATGAAAGGTTTCTAAGGAAATCCCTTTATCGTTCCCCCGCAAACAATGTTGCTGACTTAAATATTGACTCAATTGCTTCACTATTGCAGCAACATATTCTTCAACATAATGTCAAGTCGATGATTGATAGCGTGATGTCCGAGCTCCGTGAGGATCCCGTTGATCTCGATGGTAAGTGAACCAGGTGTCGTCTGTGGTGAAATCCCTGATTGACACGGCGCTGTCTGGGTTCCGCAAGGAGCTCAGCACGCCTGTCGTCGGGGGTGGATCGGACGCATCTGGAGGGGGTTGGCTGCGGCCCGAGCTCTGGCTCGGAGAACGCGCCTCCTCCCAGGCAGCTTGATCCTGGCTTCGGCTCAGGTGATGGTGTGCCTTCGGCACCTTGTGGCGACCTAGCTTCGGGCTCAGGTTCGTCACAGGCGCCTGGCGCTGGCGATGCAGGCTTCACCCTGTCTTCGCCTGGTGCCCTGACTGGCGGTCACCTACGCACCGACCAGCTCGGGGACACCTCGGCGCCAAGCGGTCAGTCAGGGTTGCCTGGGAAACCTGTATCAGCAGGTTCCTCCCAGGCAGCTTGATCCTGGCTTCGGCTCAGGTGATGGTGTGCCTTCGGCACCTTGTGGCGACCTAGCTTTGGGCTCAGGTTCGTCACAGGCGCCTGGCGCCGGCGATGCAGGTTTCACCCTGTCTTCGCCTGGTGCCCTGACTGGCGGTCGCCTAGGCCCCGGTCTGGGTTCCACTGAGCTGCCGATCACCTCGGGCGCTCCGAGGTCTACCTGTGTCCACCAGGGGAAACCTGCATTGCCAGGCTACTCCCTTGTGTCTCGGGACTGCAGATCGGACTAGCACCGACCTGGGCTTCGGCCCCGGTACGGAGCAGATCCCTGGCGCTGTTAGCTCAGGTCTCGGCCTGATGTCTATCGATGCCCTGGCCAAGAGGCCGTTGAGTGTGACGAGCTGCCGATCACCTTGACGCGCCGAGGTCTACCCGTGTACACCAGGGGAGCCCTGCATTGTCAGGCTACTCCCATGTGTTTTGGGATCGGGGTTCGAACTCGAACCGCCGACCCGAGCACTTACGTATATATATATATATCTGTATATATATATATATCCACACACATATATGTGTATGTATGGGTAATTATATAGCGCTATAGGCTATGTTTGACTATATGCTCAGTGCGCTTTTGGAGAGTACTTGGGGAAACCTGATTTATCAGGCTACTCCTACGTGTCTCGGGATCGGGGTTCGGTCTAGAACCGCTGAGCTTCGGCTCCGCGGATTCTCTGAACCCCGTGGTTAGCACCGACCCAGGCTTCGGCACTGGTAGGGCGCAGATTCATGGCTCCGGTAGTTCAGGCCTCGGCCTGACGTCTATCGACGTCTTGCCCAAGATGCCATCGAGTGTGCCGGGTGTGATGGTCACCTCGACGCTCCGAGGTCTGTCTGAGTGCTTGTGAAACCTTGATTTATCAGGCTTCTCACATGTGCCTCGGAATCGGGGTTCAGGCTCGTACAGTGGACAAGTTGATTTGAGCTTCGGCTCATTTCGCTACTTTGAACTTACCACTGAGTAGGTTCGTCCCTGAGGCAAGTGCGAGATAGAATCGCGGCTGTGTTGCCTCAGGTGTTGTCCACGTCGAATACCCGAACCGTTGGAGTTCGCCTCCCGGAGGGAAGCCTGCTGAGGGAGCTGGTGGAAAGGGGAGAGAGCGCCGGCGGTATTTTTTCGTCGGCGACTCTGGGCGGCATCTGACAGGGGTCAACTCTCATCTGGCTAGGGACTGCATTGTAGCTGTGCCAGCCAAATGAGGAGTGCGGTTTTGGGCCTATACGCCTGGGACCGTTTCGAGGAATACGGAAGTCTGTTGAGCTTCTCGTTAATTCCTCAGGTGCCCAGGCATCGGCAAACGTTAAGTTGCCGACTGCTGGGGTTTACTATATTCTGCCGCAAACACCGGTCGGAGCGACACACTCCAGTGTCGGCTTCCCGGGAGACGGCGACAATACTCCGTGCCGAGATCCAGTCTCTGCTGGGCTAGGCAACCAGTGTGGTGGTTTCCAATGGTCAGGAAAATGTGGGGTTTGACTCCATTTATTTCATCGTTGCCATTACGAACGGAATGTTCAGACCCATTCTCATCTGAGAGCTGAACAAGTTCATAGAGGTACTGTCCTTCAAGATGGAGACACCGCGCTCGGTGATCTCATCTGCCGAGACAGGGGATTGGCGCACGTCAATCGACCTCGAGGTCGCGTACCTCCTTGTTCCATTGCACCCTGATTTCAAGATTTACCTTCGGTTTCTTGTTTGACGGGACGTGCTACCAGTTTCGTGTGCTCTCCTTAGGCTACATTACGGTGCCAAGGATGTTCACCAAATTGAGGTTTATTACAGCTCAGATAGCCAGATCGCAGTGCCGGTGTTGTCACCCGTACCTAGGCGACTGGCTCATCGTGGTTTCAGAATAACTTTGAGTCGGGGGACCTCACGATCAGTGTTGGTCACTCTTACGAAACTGGGCGGAATTGTCAACCTCACGCAGTCAGGTGGACAGACGTCAGGCGTCTCTCTGAGGGTCCCCACCCCTGGAGACACCGTCGCTCTCAGTCCAGCCAGATACATCCCTACCGGGTTAGGGCGATGTTCTGGGTGACCTGCAGCCTCTTGACGACGAAGTCACAACCTGCACATCAATGTGCTGGAATTGACAGCAGTCAGGTTGGTGTTCGATCCCGCACGCCGGGATTCGAATTACCTCTTCGGCCAGACATTCTCACTCTGAACGGGGCGCCACACCCGAATCCTCGGATTCACTGGGTGGCTTGGCCTCTGTCGGGTATAACACACGGAATTCCTGCAACCGTTGCAGACACAATTCTGGCTTCGAGGCGGGATTCGACACCCGTTCAGTGTGTTGATAGGTGGGGCGCGCTGGTGTGCAGATAGGGGGATTTCGTAATCCCTATTCTGCGGATTTAGTTCGGATATTGGAGTTACTATAACCTCGTTTTGGTTGAGAGCCTTATGACCTCCACCATTGCCGGGTACTCCATGGCTATTTCCACGTTTCACACCTCGTTCGATGGTGCTCTGCCTAGGCAGCATCCTCTCGGACATCGCGTCGTAGCTGGCATGAACAGGGTTCGACCGCCTCGGCGGCGACTCAGCCCACCTTAAAATTGCCACTTATTCTCAATTGGCTGTCTGGCCCTAATTTTTCAAGTATATCGTCTCTCTCACTTCACTTGTTGACGTGGAAGACGACTTTACTTGTTGTGGTGAACTCTGGTAGAAGGGTCGGGTACATCCATGCGATTCCCACTGACCCGACACTGACAGTATTTTATACTGATCATGTCCGTATTCGCCTCCCGGATACCTACCACTCTCAGTGCGATATTGCTTTCCACGTGACTGCTCATATCGCACTTCCACCCCTTACCCAGCCTTCCGCACCGGGGACCAATCTTTCGATTGCTCACCCGTGACTGTCACGAACGAACGACCAAAAGGGATCCGTATGGGTACCCATGTGTTCTGTTTGGTGGCGGGAAGACTGGGGAGTCTGCTAGCAAGCGCACTTTATCTTGTTTCCGTAATTGTTCGGTTACAATGATACGGTTTACCTCCCCCCGAGGGGTTGAAGGCAGACTGGGTAGGGCAGATGCCGCTTTGTTGGCAATACACAGCGGCACTGCTCAATGAAGAGATCGGTTCTGTCGCTCTTTGGAGCTGGCAGAACACCTTCATTCGCCATTACCAACTTGACACGCATTCTAAGGATCGTGCTCGGTTCGGTCTTTCGGTTCTCTCCAGTGGAGAGTGACCTGCCACCCCGACCAAGTTAGTAACTGGTCATTGGTATCGGTTCTGTGTTCAATGTTGATATATTTCATATCACTACATCGTATTAGCCTTACCATCCTTTCGGGTTGGGTCGGGTTTGGGTGTACATACGTCCCTTACGTCCTCTTCAAGAGGGCGGGTCCGCTTTTGAACGCTTTAACCAGTCATATGTTATTAACCCGCCTTTGCGACGGAATTGGGTACTGAACCCCACGGGCACTGTTTGGTATGCCTCTTCGAGCCGCATGTCACGTGACCAGGTTAGTGTAATGGTGAGCCAACACATGTTCGGCTACGCTTTTCGCTATTCAGGGATTTTGTACGCTTACAGATTTTTCCCACTTCCCGAGCCTTCGGTATTTGGGAGTCTGTGTTAATCAGCTTTGTGGGATGGTGGCCTACACTTACCCTCCTCACGCCGAGAGTGTTTGGTGGGGGTGTTTTTCACTCGTACAATGCATGGTGTTTGTACTCGTTCGTTTTCCTCAGAAAGTTTTTTAGCGAGGCTAATAATTTCTCTGGGTTTTATCGAGGTCCCCGCAAGCCCTCTTCCAAACAGGAGGGGTGCATTCGAGCATTAGTTTGCAGTACTTATTAGCTCGACTCCTGGGTTATGGCTTTGTAGCGTTTAAATTTTTACGCTTTCCCTACCCTTATACCTCTCGCCACACTTGTCTGGCTGGGGCTATATTAGGGTTGGGAGTTGTACGGCATGTCCCCATACATTCCTTCCATTGTAATGGTTGGAGCGGGGTTTTATGTCATAATTGATTTGAGCCAATTGACATATAAGCTTGGGCTCTCTAGTTCACACCCCCGTCTGATTGACATCAGCGGTCAGGTGGCTCGGTGTTTTCTGTTTCCGTATCGGTTGTAGATTTCACTCCACCACGGGTTTAGTTATTGCCAGACAGAATGCCACTCCCGTCTCAAATATCTTTGGGAGTCTGTCATATGCTTATATGTACCCCAAGGAGGACTTCTTCTGAAAAAGAATTATACAAACCTGTAGAGGTTATGAATTCTTTGAAGAAAGTCCTCCTTGGGGTACAGCCACCCGCCTCCCCTCATTCTGTCTGACACGTTCAGCATGAAAAGTTAGGTACGTGGTAGACGGCGAGAGTTACCTGCTCTTGGCTGTGTTGGTCCGGTGGGGCCCTGTAGGGGTGGTCTCACAAGACAAAACGAGTTTTTTGTTTTGTAAATATTTTATTAAAAATATAGTTACAACTGTCGTAGGATTTAAAATGGACATTTTAATGCTTATATGTACCCCAAGGAGGACTTTCTTCAAAGAATTCATAACCTCTACAGGTTTGTATAATGTTTCTTGTTGGGATGTTTAGAATTACATTAAACACTTGGCTGTGTAGCTGTAGCACCTGGTTCTTGATACACAGAGATCTCATTGTTGAGGTGGTTGTAATCTGATACTCTGCTGACTTTGTGGAACAGGAAATAAAGGTGGGGTGTGGTCAAATGACATTTATTGTCTCAGGAATATTAGTACATAGTCAAACCTATAAAAACAGTCAGCTAAACCATGTTTTAATTTGGTTTGGTGTGGTTGTTGTTTAACACTGCGCTCAGCAATATTCCAGCTATATGTCGTCAGTCTGATTTGTGTTGAGCACTAAGGTTTATTTTACCCCAGCTAGGTATGAGTTCAATAAGCCACTGTTGATGAATTGCTGTTTCAGGACTGGAAGTTTTTCAAGGAAAATCATATGCAGACCGATCAAAAGGTAATTATAATCATGCAGTAATGTCACTGTTCATGATACAGTGAGAAGCATTCGCAGTACTGCATGAATTAAACAGTCTGATAAAATGTTTACTATGTTCATGACTTGTTCAACAAACCTTTGTAGTAGATAAAATGATATTAAGTTTTGAGGTGTCCTGAACATGCATGTTGTAAGATCTGGTCTTGCAGTATCCATTTGAGCGAGCGGACAAGTTCAACAAGGGTATTCGGAAGCTGGGTCTCACACCTGATGGAGAGAGCTACCTGGACCAGTTCCGTACCCTCATCACTCAGATCGGCAACGCCATGGGCTACATCAGGATGATCCGGTCTGGTGGTCTTCACTGCTGCAGCAACGCCATCAGGTTCATCCCCGACATCGAGGACATCGTCAACTTTGAGGAGCTGAGTAAGGAGGAAGGCCTGTCTGCTGAGTGTCAGGCTGCTGCCAAGTGAGTAGAACTTCTTGTTGTACATACGTTACATAACTGATCAGGACTAGATTATGTACAAGCAGATATAGCTGAAAATATGTTACAAAGATGTTCACTGCCCTTTAAGACCATGGTAAAATGTCTGCTGTATATATTGTGTATAATCAAACTTACACGACTTTCAGGAACTTGGACAATGTGATTGGAAACCTAGCCAAGAACTTTGCTGAAGGAACGGAGTACTTCAAGGTTGGTCAGCTCAGATCTACTTGACATTCTTCCTGTGTCCAAGAAGGGGCGGTGGGGTATCCTAATGGTTAAAGCGTTGGCTCGTCACGCCGAAGACCCTGGTTTGAATGCCCACATGGGTACAATGTGTGAAGCCCATTTCTGGTGTCCCCCGCCGTGATGTTGCTGGAATATTGCTAAAAGCGGCGTAAAACCAAACTCAGTCAGTCAGTCAGCCTGTGTCCAAGAACTAGCGTACTCTATGATCATCATCTTGCTCTCATCTTGTACATATAACACTGATGTCATACTGGATGATCATCATCTTGCTCTCATCTTGTACATATAACACTGATGTCATACTGTATGATCATCATCTTGCCCTCATCTTGTACATATAACACTGATGTCATACTGTATGATCATCATCTTGCCCTCATCTTGTACATGTAACACTGATGTCATACTGTTTGATCATCATCTTGCCCTCATCTTGTACATATAACACTTATGTCATACTGTATGATCATCATCTTGCTCTCATCTTGTACATATAACACTGATGTCATACTGTATGATCATCATCTTGCTCTCATCTTGTACATGTAACACTGATGTCATACTGTATGATCATCATCTTGCTCTCATCTTGTACATATAACACTGATGTCATACTCTATGATCATCATCTTGCCCTCATCTTGTACATATAACACTGATGTCATACTGTATGATCATCATCTTGCCTCTCATCTTGTACTGTATGATCATCATCTTGCTCTAACACTGATGTCATACTGTATGATCATCATCTTGCTCTCATCTTGTACATATAACACTGATGTCATACTGTATGATCATCATCTTGCTCTCATCTTGTACATATAACACTGATGTCATACTGTATGATCATCATCTTGCTCTCATCTTGTACATATAACACTGATGTCATACTGTATGATCATCATCTTGCTCTCATCTTGTACATATAACACTGATGTCATACTGTATGATCATCATCTTGCTCTCATCTTGTACATATAACACTGATGTCATACTGTCATATGATCATCATCTTGCTCTCATCTTGTACATATAACACTGATGTCATACTGTATGATCATCATCTTGCTCTCATCTTGTACATATAACACTGATGTCATACTGTATGATCATCATCTTGCATATAACACTCATCTTGTCACATATAACACTGATGTCATACTCTATGATCATCATCTTGTACATATAACACCTCATCTTGTACATATAACACTGATGTCATACTCTATGATCATCATCTTGCTCTCATCTTGTACATATAACACTGATGTCATACTGTATGATCATCATCTTGCCCTCATCTTGTACATATAACACTGATGTCATACTCTATGATCATCATCTTGCTCTCATCTTGTACATATAACACTGATGTCATACTGTATGATCATCATCTTGCTCTCATCTTGTACATATAACACTGATGTCATACTGTATGTGGTCACTCCTATATAAGTGACACCTTAGGTTATCACTGTATAGGCCAACTTTGCTTCTTCTTGCGGAATGGAATGAAACTGTTGTTTAGGCAGTCAGTATGTTAGCATTAGCAGGCTGTGTAAGTCATTGTAATTTAACTTTGTCTCACTCTGTGCATATTTCCCGCAGATGCTTGTGGATGTGTTTGCTCCCGAGTTCCGGAACCCAAAGAACATGCATCTGAGGAACTTCTTTGTGATTCTGCCCCCACTGGTGAGTGACACATTATCAGAGTTCCTCAGCTCATGAGTGACACATTATCAGGGCTCCTCAGCTCATGAGTGACACATTATCAGAGTTCCTCAGCTGGTGAGTGACACATTATCAGAGTTCCTCAGCTCATGAGTGACACATTATAAGAGTTCCTCAGCTGATGAGTGACACATTATCAGAGTTCCTCAGCTGATGAGTGACACATTATCAGAGTTCCTCAGCTCATGAGTGACACATTATCAGAGTTCCTCAGCTCATGAGTGACACATTATAAGTTGTTCACTGGTCTCGAGGGGGACATGGGCTGATACATCCTTGTTGTTTGTTTCCCTGAGCCTGAGTGTACATCAACCCATGGGCCCGAGGGACCAGTGACCAACGTATTTATCTTACCGAACACCTCAATGGTAATTTTGAACTGTTTGAAGCACGGGTATCGGATCATAGTATTTAAATTTAGTATTTGAACAAATTTAGAGTTATCTCCCTTCAATCAATTTGCATTCGCAAAACATCTGTAATTTCTGTACATCATACGTGATTCAATGTTATTCGAGATAAAGAATTACTACCATGACGTACCAAATGAGTTGGGCTTTCCCATCTGGGTACATAGAAATTGTTACTCGCTTGTAAGTGGGGTACATTGAAAATAATGGAAGAGAGCTCAGCCAATCAGAAAACGACATGTTTGTGTGAGGCAAGATAATATCAGAGGTCTACTTGATTGGAGGTTGTACTTAATCCACAAGTGATGGTAGAAGGTGTGTTGGATGTGAATATCCTGATGTAGCATTGATATGAGGTGTACCAGGTCGTTCTACACCCAGAGACACACTGTACATGTATGTATATTTTAAATAATCCAGGATAAATGGATTTATCACAAACTGACAGGTTATAAACACAAAAAATGACACAGTTTAGTGTGACAAAGTTTTTGTAAATGTCCTGTGACAGTTGTATCAATGTTTTTGAATAAAAGATTGTACAATAAATAAACTCTTTATTTATTATACGGACCCTACCTCACGGAGTTACCTCCCTTAGCGCATACACTCAACTGGGTAGGCTCCTAGACCCGTATCATCATTCCTTCTGCTGTCACGGCCGCGAACACAGACGTGTTTGATAACCCATTCATGAGCCGTGCACGGCGCTGTTAAAAGATATGTCTGAGACACCACCTGTATGTATGGTCTTTATTTGTCTAAAACAAGAACAGTAAAGCTTTACAGTTGGTTGTTTCATAATTGTGACTTTGTATTCATACTAAACACGCTGAATCTTTCCGTGGTTACGCGACGTGTTGCTCTGCCATGGCGGAAGTTTAGCGTACATGTGGTCGTAATATTGCGTGATAAAACCAACTATTACTTTCTCGTGGTAACCTTCACGAAGTTTTTCAATGTTTTCTACGGTTTATATGCTGCTGGTCGCCGCTCACTAACACGCTTATGCGTGTTTGTTTCAGGCCTTTTCATGCTGTTCGGTCTGTGAGGGGAGTATCCCCTCGGCCGACAGTCATCGAAGGCGCGTGGCCTGTCTGGAGAAGACAGGCCATGAGGCTGACTCCTGTCCTATTTGTCTGGCCTTTTCCCCGGGCCCAGAAGAGGCGGGCTGCCGACACCTTGTTCTATCGCGAAATGCGGGAGGCGGGAGGGGACCTGACGCAGGTTCCCCGTCTAAGTCCAAACGTGTGTCAAAAAGGGAAAAAATCCCGCGGGCCCTTCCCCTCTCCGCCACTTCGAAAGTGGTTTTGACATGTCACTGATGGAGTCTCATGTTTCAGCAGCAGATGGACTCGATGAAGTCCTTCGCTCGTGAGTCGGGTTGGAGGTCTCCGCAGGAGTTCCTCACCCACTCCGGACGGGGCGGAGAGTCCGGGTGGGATCGCCGGGCTCGCTCGATCCCTCGGCCTTGAGGGCGCCTGTAGATCCGCTGCCTCTGGCTTCGATCGGGACGCCTCGGCTGCTCGGGAGGGAGGGGCTCCCAGTCCCCCTCTCGGAGCTCGCAGCCAGGGCCGTTGAGTATTCCTGGTATTCGGTCCTGCGCACACCCGCCCCATGAGAGCGGAGGCACCAGTTCTGCCTGGCCTGCCTCCAGCGCCTCGACCGGGTCCACGACGCCGGGCTGGCGCTGACGTGGAGCAGTCTGTCTGTTCTTCCTTCCTGTGGTTCCTAGCGTTAGGCAGTCCACCGGGTCGGGTTAGGGTCCTCTCACGGAGGAGACCCAGCCTCTGACTCGGGCCTCGGACGCCTGCAGGCAATGGAGCTTGGGAGGTCGAGGAGCATGACGGGCTTCCGCTTTTGCTTCGCCTTGGCGGGAGGTCCGGCAGAGAATTGCCGAGGGCCTACCCCAGGCCGCGGTGCCTGCTGGTAGCGTGGACTCGACTGAGTTCCGCTTGCCTGGCGAGGCGTTTGCCCCTAGGCAACCCTCACAGACGCAGCTCCGCATTCTGCCATCGTTGGTCTCGGACGTGGTCGATCCCCTCCTGTCTGGTGCCCGAGTAAGGTTTGACTTACCTGAACTCGCGGCGGCGCTACCAGCTTGGGGAGGATTCCCTGTTCGCGTTGTACCGATTGTTGACGAATGTGTTTTCACTTCGCCGCCCTGGGGAGGCTCGGCCTCGAGCAGCTCCCGCTGCTCGGCAAGGGCCTAACTCCACCTTTTGCCTCGCGCGGCGCTTCATGCGCTGCATCGACCTACGAGGAGGTCTACCGAACGCGATGCAGCAGGTGCGGTGGTGGTCCATGAGGCCTACCTCACCTCGGTTCAGAGGTCGGCCCTGGAGGCGGAGGGCATGCTGGCGACGTGTCGCCGCATGTCGTGCTGCTCCGCCAGCTGGAAGTGCAGGCTCACCGCCGCGACTCTTTGCGGTCTGCTGCGCCGACGGTGATGTGCGCAGTCATGGGGATGCGCGGCTGTGGCTGTCGACGCCTAGGTACCGGCAGCGACACAGCAGACCTTGCTGGCCCTCCCTTTCCGCCTGGGAGCCACCCTCTTTCCAGGGCCCAGCAGGTCATACGGAGGCTGCCGCTGCAGCTACCTCCTTCAAGGACTCTAAGGCCTTGTTGGAGCACCGCGGGGTGTTTCCAGGCCCCGTGCCACCTTTCCTCCGCCGGGTGCAGCCTACACCCGAAGTTCGCCGGCTGGCTTCGGGCCGCTGGTAGGGGTAGGCGGAGGAACAGGTCCGCCAAGGGTAGGGGCAAGGAGCAGTCCTCGACTAGCTCCCAGCCTTTTCGCTGGGCGCTGGAGGTCTGCCCCGACCTCCGTTAACCCATCAGGTTGCCGCCAAGCCGCGGTGTCACGCCCAGTCAGCTCCGCTTACTCGGGTCTACACACGCTTCCTACCCCATATCCCAGTGGGAGGCCGCTTCTCTATTCCTGCCGGAATGGGAGAAGGCTACCAACAACGCTTGGGTGCTGGCCACGGCAGCATAGGCCATCTCCCACTGTGGAAGCTGCAGGTCCGCCTCGACTTCACCGGCATACGCCGCGACCGGTGCCGCCATGTCAAGCCAGGGCGGACATATTGCGCGAAGTTCAGGCTCTGCTGGACAAGTCCGCAATCGAAAGCGCATTCCACCGGGAGAGGAACAGGCGGGATTTTATTCCACGTACTTCCTCGGCCCGAAGAAAGACGGCGGGTTCCGTCCGATTCTCAACCTCAAGGGGTTGAATCGCATGCTCGGCACCATCCTTCAAGATGGAGACACTGCGCCGGTGATCTCCTCTGTTCAGCCCGGCGATTGGCTCACGCCAATCGACCTAAAGGATGCGTATGATTCAGATGTACCCATACATCCATCGCTCAAGCAGTACCTTCGGTTCTCTTTACGACGGGATGTATTACCAATTCAGGGTGCCCCTTCGGCATATCGACTGCCCCAAGGGTGTTCACCAAGCTCATGTTAGTCCCAGCTACCCTAGCTCGCCGCAAGGAAGGCGTTGTTACCCTTACCTAGACGACTGGTTGCTCGGAGCACTAACACAGCCAGCGAAGTCAAGATGCTACTCACACAGTGATAGACATTCTAACTCGACTGGGGTGGATCATCAACCTCAAGAAATCCGACCTGGTACCCACCCAGGACTTGGTTTTTCTTGGAGCGATTCCAAACGAACAAGGATCTCGCTTCCTTTGTCGCCCGACCGGTCACCAGAGTTCGAGATGGTCTCTTCATTCCTCTCCCAGCCCCAGGCACCAGCACGGACTTGGCTCCGCCTACTGGGCCATATGGCGGCGACGCATCTCTGTAGTGTGGCGGGCGCTGGGTTGAGGATGCGCCCCATACAGCAAGCTTTGGCTCGGCTGTGGACTCACACGGAGGATCTGGAGCGCAGTCTCACAGTCCCCGAAAGTGGTTGACACCTCACCTTCAGTGGTGGACAAATGTCGGAATCTCACCAGGGGATCCCCTTGGAAATCCCGACGCCAGCTCTCACAGTTCAGACAGATGCGCCCTCACGGGCTGGGGCGTTCTGGGCAGTCTGTCGGCTTCCCGACTCTGGTCCGAAGCCGAAGCTCACCTTCACATCAACGTGTTGGAACTGAGAGCTGTGCGGTTGGTATTCGAGCTTCAGAGAGCATGTCCCGGCCAGGTAGTCCGCCTTCAGTTAGACAACCAGACGGCCATGTCGTACATCCTGAAGCAGGGAGGCACGGTGTCCCCAGCGCTCCGGGAAGCGGGACTTTCTCCTCTGGAGCCACCAGTACGCATTGTCAGGTACTCCTGTTTATCTCCCCGGGCTGGAGAACGCGGCGCAGCAGATGCGCCTCTCGCCGGATCCTGGCCCCCGTGACGAAAGTGGATGCTCGACAGGCAGATATTCACAGTAATCTCCCAGTTGTACGGGTCGCTCGAGGTGGATCTGTTTGCGCCCCGCGCGGACGATCAGACACCCGTGTTCTGCTCGGATACCGGACCCAGGGCGTTGGCTGCCGACGCCTTCCTGCTGGATTGACGGGCAAAGTGCTCTCATGCTCCCCGCCATTACCACTCATTCCCCGTGTCCTTTCACAGCTGTCCACCCAGCCAGCTCGGCTACTTGTGCTACTGGCACCGCTTTGGCCGTCACAGAGCTGGTTTCCGGTAATTCTCAGGTTTCTGGCTCAGCCTCCTGTTCTATTACCTTTGCGACCGGACATTCTCACTCAGAACGGAGCGCCCCACCCAAATCCACGGATTCAGTGGGTGGCTTGGCCTCTGTCAGGTCTAACCTCGAGGCACGCTGGAATTCCTGCAGCAGTTGCAGACACAATTCTGGCTTCGAGGCGGATTCGGACAAACGTTCAGTACGAGGATAGGTGGTCCCGCTTATGCGCCGCTGGTGTTCAGATAAGGGATTGCAGATCCCTTTCTGGGCGGATTTAGTCCGAGTTTTGGAGTTTTGCAAGCTCGCTTGGAAGAAGGCCTGGCGGCTTTCGACCATTCGCGGCTACTCCACCGCTATTTCCACTTTTCACACCCCTGTCGATGGTGCTCTTCTGGGGCAGCACCCTCTCGTACAGCGCTGCTGGCTGAACGGATTCGACCTGCTCTCAGGCTTAACCAGTCCACCTTGGGATTTGTCGATCGTGCTCGATTGGCTGTCCGTCCCACTTTCTCACACCTATCGGCTATTTCCATTCAGTTGTTGACCTGGAAAGCTGTTTTCTGGTGGCGGTAACATCTGGTCGAAGAGTCGGCGATTTACATGCTATGTCGTCCGACCCGGGCGCTGACTGTGTTTCACACGGATCGTGTCAGTATTCGCCCCAGATACTTTACCGACCGAAGGTCGATCACGCTTCCATGTGACAGCTCCTATCGAACTTCCTACTCTTTACCCAGCCTTCCACATCGGGGACCACTCCTACGAGCACTCACCCGTTGGATGTCCGTAAGACGCTCAAAGTCTATCTCAAACGAACGCAGGGGATCCGTACGGGTACCCAGCTGTTCTGTTGTTACGGTGGCGGGAAGGCTGGTCTGCCAGCGAGCAAGCAGACTTTGTCTCGCTGGCTAGTATCGTGTATTTGTGCCGCTTATCAGGCTAAGGGCAAGCCTCCCCCTGAGGGGTTGAAGGCTCACTCGGTCAGGGCAGTAGCCGCATCAAAAGCTTTTGCATCGGCACTCCCCATTGAAGAGATCTGCTCCGCCGCTATTTGGAGCCGGCCAAGCACGTTTATACGCCATTATCAGCTCGATACGCATTCCCGTAATCGTGCAAACTTTGGCCGTACTGTTCTCTCCAGTGGACAGTGTCCTGCCACCCTGACCGAGTGAGTCTTGGTTTATTGGTTTGTTTTGACGCTACTGTACAATAAGATTCCATTATTGACATGTCTGCTAATGTGAGCTCACTCAGAGAACCTGTACCCCCTTTCGATTCTCTACGGAGTTACTGTATCGTTAGTGAGTGGTATTTTTGTTTTCCCCCTACGGTGCTCTCATGAAAGAAGCCACTTAGTGGGTCGGATTTCGTTGATATTCGCACTACGTGCAATGTCTCATTATGCTAGAGGTCGTCTTTGAGCACAAATCCTCCCTGTCAGTTCCCCTCCCATAATGCCTCTCGCGGAAGCGAAACTGGGTCGAGTGACAGGTGAGTGTTATGGCGTCTGTTCAATTTTTTTTCCATGATACGATCGCTATATTTTGAGTGTGCTTGGACAGAATTCCCTCCTCCCTGGCCTCCGGTCTTTGGGAGTCTGTGTTTATGCATAATATGTACCCCAAGGACGATCTCTCTGAAAAAGAATTAACCAAACCTGCAGAGGTTTTCAATTCTTTGAAGAGAGTCGTCCTTGGGGTAGGGGCCTCCCACCTCCCCGCAATTCTGTTCACTGATAAGAATTCAGCAGAAGGAATGATGATACGGGTCTAGGAGCCTACCCAGTTGGTGCGCATGCGCTAAGGGAGGTAACTCCGTGAGGTAGGGTCCGTATAATAAATAAAAGAGTTTATTTATTGTACAATCTTTTTATTCAAAAAACATTGATACAACTGTCACAGGACATTTTTCAGCCGGAAAATGCATAATATGTACCCCAAGGACGACTCTCTTCAAAGAATTGAAAACCTCTGCAGGTTTGGTTAAGTTTTTGTAAATGTTTACGTAGGATTAGAGTAGGGTAGTAGTTGTTTGGTCTACTTGACCAATGTTTGATTTTCCACTTCTGATGTTACGTGCCTTTATTTTCCCTGAATATCACTGAAAGTGGCATAAAAATATACTTGCATGCTCACATGCTCACGCACTCACTCACTCACTCCCTCCCTGATATGAGTTTCTGTGATCTGGTTGTGATGTTGCGTCTGTGTTGTCAGACGGTGAACTTCGTGGAGCACTCCATCAGCTGCAAGGAGAAGATGAACAGGAAGAACAAAGACATGGCTGCCTTCACAGACGACGGCTTTGCCATGGGTCAGTCGATCAACCACATTGTGTCAACTTTGAAACTAAAATATCTAAGTTCAGCACTGATTATTTGTCATTCACAATAAGTATTTGTAAATCAAGGATGTTCTACACATCAACATACTTTGTATCCTCATGTTAAACAATCTTACTTTAACATGTCTGCTTGTGCCTGGTCAGGCTGTGATGCTTGGTTATATGAAGTGTGTGAAGTTCAAGGGAAGTAACTCCTCCCTGATTGGTGTGTTGGTACAGGTGTTGCCTACATCCTCAAGTTATTGGACCAATATCATGAGTTTGATTCCCTTCACTGGTTCCAGTCTGTCAGAGACAAACACCTTACAGAAAAGGTAAGTTGTCACTCACATTGTCATTGCTTTGAGAGAAACTTTTTAAATGTTACTTCATTCTTGTTTCTTGATGCAACATTATGTATTCCAGCTCCTCCGTGTTGAGCTGACCACTGTGATTAGACTGAAACGCTGATCAAAACAGCAGTAAACAAAACTCTCTTATTCTACCTGTAACTATAATAGCATCTCATGTCTGAACATTATGTATCAGTTAAACATATATTGTGACAAGATCAGGTTACTACTGGCAACAGTGATCATGTTTGAACATTATGTATCAGTTAAACATACTGTAAACGTATTATATTTCGCGTAGGTTTTATTTTCGCGCAAAACATTTTAGCGCGAAAATTTATACACTGCGAATAAACCTGTCATTCATTCAGTCTAGCCACGCTCGCCCCTGAGTTGTTACCATAACACATCAAGTTTGAAGACGGGAATCTTACAATGACGACTGATAGTAGCATAAAGAATCATACTTAACTGTCGCTGTAATGGATTTCCCAAAACATAATTAAATAATGAGCCAAATCCCATCGCCGAATTAGCGAAAACAGCAATGTGTGTTGTGGCCGCCATGGAAATTGGTCACATGACAGATGGTTTGATATAAAACAGATTACCATGAAACGACTCGGAAAGAAATAATACAGCAGTATTTTATTTATTCATTAAGATTTTATTTACCAGTACATCATGAAGCAAATAGTCACTTGACACTCAATCATCTCATTCACAACAACCCGGCTTGTTTGAAATCACAAAGAGCTTCATATACAGTAGAAGTTAATTCGTCAGATTGTCAGAATTTGGAACATAAGACTGATGTGTTTTTCATCTCTTCCGTGAGTAAACAGATTACTGTGTACTAGTATATCGCACAGATAGGGATTTCCTGTTAGTAAGCAATAAACGCCGCCTGACAGGTTAAGCCACTCTGTTTGTTTTCAATGCTATTAGTGGCGGCCAAAGAGACAGCTGGCAGTTCCGGCAATTACCGATTGCGAGAATAATTGACCGTGCGATGTAGTCTAAACTGTCAATTCCGCGAAAATTGCACCACGCGAAAATAAGTACGTTTACAGTATATTGTGACAAGATCAGGTTACTACTGGCAACAGGATCACTGATGTTGCTGTTATTGACAGAGGCAGGTATCAAAGCAGACTGGTGGCCGTGGTGATGAGAAGCTGCAGCAGACCATGAGCTTGACGGTCAAGAGATTGGACCAGTCACTCCAGGTGTGTACATCTCGTTAACCTTCACATATATGTACACATACATATATGAAACTTAGACATGCGTTTGTTAATTGGGAGCATTAACCAGATTTGACAAGAAAAGATCATACTTTTTTAACTATTTCTGAAATGCTTGGTCCCCGTGTCTGAAAATGAAGACCAAGGTGTCATGCTATGTGACATGGAGTGCTGTTACTGCATCAACTGTGGACATCCCTGATTAGAGCAGCTGTCAGTATCCTCATCTTGTCATAGTCGGCCGCAGTAGGAACTGTGTTGTAAGACTCAGTGCTTCCGTTCCCCAGTGGCCTGGCTTGTTACTCATGTAATCCATCCTGGTTTGTCATAACACTGACACTGCAACATCTTGCTGATACTGACACTGCAACATCTTGCTGACACTGACACTGCAACATCTTGCTGATACTGACTGCAACATCTTGCTGATACTGACACTGCAACATCTTGCTGACACTGACACTGCAACATCTTGCTTACACTGACTGCAACATCTTGCTGACACTGACACTGCAACATCTTGCTGAAACTGCAACATCTTGCTGACACTGACACTGCAACATCTTGCTGACACTGACACTGCAACATCTTGCTGACACTGACACTGCAACATCTTGCTGACACTGACTTGCTGACACTGACACTGCAACATCTTGCTGATACTGACACTGCAACATCTTGCTGACACTGCAACACTGACTGACTGCAACATCTTGCTACTGACACTGCAACACTGACACTGCAACATCTTGCTGACATCTTGCTGCAACACTGACTGACAACATCTTGCTGACACTGACACTGCAACATCTTGCTGACACTGCAACATCTTGCTGACACTGACACTGCAACATCTTGCTGACTGATCTTACTGACTGACACTGCAACATCTTGCTGACACTGACACTGCAACACTGACATCTTGCTGACACTGACACTGCAACATCTTGCTGATACTGACACTGCAACACACTTTACTGACACTGCAACATCTTGCTGATACTGACACTGCAACATCTTGCTGACACTGACACTGCAACATTGCTTGATACTGACACTGCAACATCTGCAACATCTTTTGATACTGACACTGCTGCATCTTGCTGATACTGACACTGCTGCAACATCTTGCTGACACTGACACTGCAACATCTTGCTGATACTGACACTGCAACATCTTTGCTGACACTGACACTGCAACATCTTGCTTACTGACACTGCAACATCTGACACTGCAACATCTTGCTGATACTGACACTGCAACATCTTGCTGACACTGACACTGCAACATCAACACTGCTGCTGACTGCAACATCTTGCTGATACTGACACTGCAACATCTTGCTGACACTGACACTGCAACATCTTGCTGACACTGACACTGCAACACTGCAACATCTTCTTGCTGACACTGACACTGCAACATCTTGCTGATACTGACACTGCAACATCTTGCTGATACTGACACTGCAACATCTTGCTGATACTGACTGCAACATCTTGCTGATACTGACACTGCAACATCTTGCTGACACTGACACTGCAACATCTTGCTGACACTGACACTGCAACATCTTGCTGACACTGACTGCAACATCTTGCTGACACTGACACTGCAACATCTTGCTGACACTGACACTGCAACATCTTGCTGACACTGACTGCAACATCTTGCTGACACTGACACTGCAACATCTTGCTGATACTGACACTGCAACATCTTGCTGATACTGACACTGCAACATCTTGCTGATGACACTGCAACATCTTGCTGATACTGACACTGCAACATCTTGCTGACACTGACACTGCAACATCTTGCTGCTGACACTGCAACACTGACAGACTGCAACATCTTGCTGCAACATCTTGCTGACACTGACACTGCAACATCTTGCTGACTGCAACACTGACACTGCAACATCTTGCTGATCTTACTGCAACATCACTGACACTGCAACATCTTGCTTGCTGCAACATCTTGCTGACACTGAACACTGCAACATCTTGCTGATACTGACACTGCAACATCTTGCTGACACTGACACTGCAACATCTTGCTGACACTGACACTGCAACATCTTGCTGATACTGACACTGCAACATCTTTACTGACACTGCAACATCTTGCTGACACTGCAACATCTTGCTGACACTGACACTGCAACATCTTGCTGATACTGACACTGCAACATCTTGCTGACACTGACACTGCAACATCTTATTGACACTGACACTGCAACATCTTGCTGACTGACACTGCAACATCTTGCTGACACTGACACTGCAACATCTTGCTGACACTGACACTGCAACATCTTGCTGACACTGACACTGCAACATCTTGCTGACACTGACACTGCAACATGCTGATACTGACACTGCAACATCTTACTGACACTGCAACATCTTGCTGACACTGACACTGCAACATCTTGCTGAAACTGACACTGCAACATCTTGCTGACACTGACGCTGCAACATCTTGCTGATACTGACACTGCAACATCTTGCTGATACTGACACTGCAACATCTTGCTGACACTGACACTGCAACATCTTGCTGATACTGACACTGCAACATCTTGCTGATACTGACTGCAACGTTCCCTTGCAGGAGTTCGATCTGCTTCACTACTCACTCAGCAGTGCGCGGATCTTCTTCCGTGCCGATCTGACGGCCGCCGAAGAAAAGGAGGAGAAAGACAAAGGTAATATACATGACATCACCATTTCTGAGTTGTAGCTGTTGTGACGAAATATTCTAGATATATGGGATCTTCATGGTTCCTCGTTTGTATGGCGAGCTTGATGTCAATGCAACAGGATTAATGATACCATCCCCCAACCCACCCAACCCACCTCCCACACACACCACCACCCCGGCCCCACACACACCACCACCCCTATTCTCTTCCCACAGAGGTTACTCCTGTCATATCTTCCTACGTAACCTCTGTTCTAATACGGACATATTTCCCGGTTCTCGTAAAATCCCCTAGCGGCAAAAGATCGCAACACGAATTATCTCCCTTCTTTCTATCCAATCAGAACACGTGTTACATCGACTTAGATTCTACTTGACTAACACAAGCAAATGTGAGGCCACAAATATCCCCCATCTGCCGGGACTTGTGTTGATGTTACATACAAGACGTTTAATGGCTAGCTTGTCCGTTGTCAACGAGGGCGATGGAGACGCCACAGATCCGCCATAACATGACTGAGTTCTGTCTAGAAGAAACGTTTGCGCATCGCGCAGGGGAAGAGGTTTAGTTTTCTCGAAGTATACGGAAATTACTGAGGCCTTGCGAATGATCACTTTTGAAACAACGTCGCTGATTGCACAACTAAATCTGATTGCCTCCAATCACGAGTCTTGAACGCTCACACTATGAAAGGGCCGTATTAGAAAAGAGGTTACGTAGGAAGATATGACAGGAGTAACCTCTGTGGGAAGAGAATGCACCACCCCGGCCCCACCCAATGTTTCAGTGTTTGGATACTGTAACATATAGCAGGTATACTTCCTGACTCTGGAGAGGAAAGTCTGTAGTTGTATATGGTCTGTCCCTGACATACTGCTGTCCATTTATCTGTAGCAGGACCAGACACTCCAACAGCCAATGGGGATGGGGCTAGTGGTTCAGCCAATCAGACGTCTGCATCTGCCTCTTCAGGTAAGCAATAAGTATCATAATCACCATGCTAAGGTCAACAAAAATATAGAGTTTATCTTTAATCAGTAGTATAATTGTTCGGGGTTTTTTAAAGTGGCATGTCATAAACACTCAGTATAAGATGAAGTTTAGATGTGAAGTGCATACTGGTATCTGTTTGTTAAGTTTTAAAATAAATTCAATCAATGTTTTAATTTTGTTAAAAGCATCATGATACTGATGGAAGGTAAGAATAGTTGTATCTGCATGACTTTCATTCATCTTTGATGTGATGGACTTTGATTCTGCTCTGTATGTAAGGCTTTCATAACTTTCTGCTCTACTCTTGGTGTTAGGTACTCTACTCTTGGTGTGTAGACTCTCTCATGACTGTCTACTCTCGGTGTATGACTCTCTGCTCTTGGTGTGAGACTCTCTCATGACTGTCTACTCTCGGTGTATGACTCTCTCATGACTCACTCTCTCTGCTCTTGGTGTGAGACTCTCTCATGACTCTCTGCTCTGAGTGTATGACTCTCTCATGACTCACTCTCTCTGCTCTTGGTGAGAGACTCTCTCATGACTCTCTGCTCTCTGTGTATGACTCTCTCATGACTCACTCTCTCTGCTCTTGGTGTGAGACTCTCTCATGACTCTCTGCTCTGAGTGTATGACTCTCTCATGACTCACTCTCTCTGCTCTGGGTGAGAGACTCTCTCATGACTCTCTGCTCTGAGTGTATGACTCTCTCATGACTCACTCTCTCTACTCTGGGTGTGAGACTCTCTCATGACTCTCTGCTCTGAGTGTATGACTCTCTCATGACTCACTCTCTCTACTCTGGGTGTGAGCCTTTCATGACTTGTGAGACTCTGTGTGTTCTGCATGCCCACATTATAGTGTTGTGTTGGTGATACCCAGCCTGGCAGGTGGATGTTTCCTGTAACAGCCTGGCAGGTGGATGTTTCCTGTAACTGTTAGATGCAGTCTGTGGCAATAAGTGTTGTGTTGGTGATACCCAGCCTGGCAGGTCGATGTTTCCTGTAACTGTTAGATGCAGTCTGTGGCAATAAGTGTTGTGTTGGTGATACCCAGCCTGGCAGGTCGATGTTTCCTGTAACTGTTAGATGCAGTCTGTGGCAATAAGTGTTGTGTTGGTGATAACCCAGCCTGGCAGGTCGATGTTTCCTGTAACTGTTAGATGCAGTCTGTGGCAATAAGTGTGTGTTGTGTTGGTGACACCCAGCCTGGCAGGTCGATGTTTCCTGTAACTGTTAGATGCAGTCTGTGGCAATAAGTGTTGTGTTGGTGATACCCAGCCTGGCAGGTGGATGTTTCCTGTAACTGTTAGATGCAGTCTGTGGCAATAAGTGTTGTGTTGTGATACCCAGCCTGGCAGGTGATGTTTCCCTGTTAGATGCCTGGCAATAAGTGTTGTGTTGGTGGTGGATGTTTCCTGTAACTGTTAGATGCAGTCTGTGGCAATAAGTGTTGTGTTGGTGATACCCAGCCTGGCAGGTGGATGTTTCCTGTAACTGTTAGATGCAGTCTGTGGCAATAAGTGTTGTGTTGGTGATACCCAGCCTGGCAGGTGGATGTTTCCTGATAACTGTTAGATGCAGTCTGTGGCAATAAGTGTTGTGTTGGTGATACCCAGCCTGGCAGGTGGATGTTTCCTGTAACTGTTAGATGCAGTCTGTGGCAATAAGTGTTGTGTTGGTGATACCCAGCCTGGCAGGTCGATGTTTCCTGTAACTGTTAGATGCAGTCTGTGGCAATAAGTGTTGTGTTGGTGATACCCAGCCTGTGATACCCAGCAGGTCGATGTTTCCTGTAACTGTTAGATGCAGTCTGTGGCAATAAGTGTTGTGTTGGTGATACCCAGCCTGGCAGGTGGATGTTTCCTGTAACTGTTAGATGCAGTCTGTGGCAATAAGTGTTGTGTTGGTGATACCCAGCCTGGCAGGTGGATGTTTCCTGTAACTGTTAGATGCAGTCTGTGGCAATAAGTGTTGTGTTGGTGATACCCAGCCTGGCAGGTGGATGTTTCCTGTAACTGTTAGATGCAGTCTGTGGCAATAAGTGTTGTGTTGGTGATACCCAGCCTGGCAGGTCGATGTTTCCTGTAACTGTTAGATGCAGTCTGTGGCAATAAGTGTTGTGTTGGTGATACCCAGCCTGGCAGGTCGATGTTTCCTGTAACTGTTAGATGCAGTCTGTGGCAATAAGTGTTGTGTTGGTGATACCCAGCCTGGCAGGTCAATGTTTCCTGTAACTGTTAGATGCAGTCTGTGGCAATAAGTGTTGTGTTGGTGATACCCAGCCTGGCAGGTCGATGTTTCCTGTAACTGTTAGATGCAGTCTGTGGCAATAAGTGTTGTGTTGGTGATACCCAGCCTGGCAGGTGGATGTTTCCTGTAACTGTTAGATGCAGTCTGTGGCAATAACAGACCTGCTGCTCACTGACAATTGTTCCCTGCACAATGTCCGCATCTGCAAACATTTTATAAGTCTTAGTCAAAACTCTCTACTCACTAGCATTCATCAAATGGAATAGTCATATGCTAACGTAGAGCTTGTGTCTTTGGTACACCACTCACTCACTTTCTTGTTGCGTGGTACAGTTAACTAACATGGCAAAGTAGCTGTATGGCGGTATGTGCTTTACTGGATGATGTGGATTATATGAGGGATTCATTTGAATACTGGAGTATAATCAGCGTTTGTTACATATGGAAAATTGTTTCTGTTATCTTATTATCATGAGCTGACTAATGAGAAAACATTAAGCTTTTGATATGGCTCTGGTTCAGTAATAATACCACCTGCCTGATGTGTTATAGTACAGTTGTACATACATGGTCATAGTCGTGGGTGAGAAACCAGGGCCTAGAGTTTCGAAGTTCTCTTAGCGCTAAGATAGTCCTAAGTTCATGTTAATGTATGGCACTTACGACTATCTTAGCGCTAAGAGAGATTCGAAAATCTAGGCCCAGATCATGATGTGTGGCAGTTAGTGTGTCCCTATCACTATCAATGTCTGTTCTATTTCCAGATATGCCTGTTGATTCTGTCAGCATGGACAACACAGGTCCTTCTACTGGTGGAGGGGCACCGCCCCACCCCCCCCCCTCCTCCTCCACCCCCACCCCCACCACCTCCAATGTAATGTATACATCCCCTCCCAGACAACAGAGTGATTTAACTCCCCGTCTTCCACCAATAAGACTCCAAGAATAGGGATTATCGATGGACTCTGTACATTGTATTCCCACTGTCATGCGATGCTGTATGACACTGTCACCTCCTACACAGAAGGCCGATATGACAGGAAACCTCAACAAGGATAGAGCATCCTTGAGCTGAACCAGAGACATTGTGACAACACTTCACTGCATAAATAATCAATGATAATTTCCATTAAGTGTCCTACAATCCCATAGAGACATTGAGGAGTTGCTGAATTATCATCAGATGAATCTGTATTTAAAGTGTACATTCCATATGTTATATTTGTATATGAATGTAAATATATATAGGACTACATAGCAGGCAAACACTGAACACAAGTCCCCAATGATTAGATAGTGTGTACATTGTAAGAATGTGTACATGCACTTGAACACTGATAGTTCCCTGTTTGTTTAGATGTTTGTTGATGCAAACTGTTTACATGCCAGTGATCAAGCTGTTGTGGTCCAAATGTTAACCAACCACAATGTTAAGAGTTCAAGATTTATGAGGCTCTATTTCCAAATACAAGAGGAGCCAATCTGACCACATGACGTATTCCTTGGTTTCAACTGCATAGGTTGTTTGCTATGGAAATGTTGTGAATCAAAAAACCCTTATAGAAAATATTAAATCATCATGTCAAATACATACAGAGGTTCTTTCTTATTATTCTGTGAGCAGTATTTCCATCCTGTTGGGTTTAACCAAATTTGTGAAGTTCAACTTTTACTTGTGTCACATACTGACATGCTGTTTTGTGACAAATTATTTACAAAGACATGTAGCAGGAGTGGATACAGCTATTTGAGAAGGGGGGGCACTATCGATAAAGGGGGTGCACTCCATTTTCAGAAGAGTTTCAATGGTCATTTAATAAACTTTCAGGACAAAGGGGTGGGGTGCGCGAACGAACACACACACACACACACACACACACACACACACACTCTGGATCCGCCTATATGTAGGGTGCATTTCAATGGGAAGAGTTTTGTCCCTTGGGCCCACCACAGACCGGATGTTGTTGGTTCTAACAGTTCCTGGTCTGCCGGAATTATGCCATGTAACTGTAATAAAACTGAGAGTTTTGGTGACAACCCCTGTCCTGGACGGCCTGTCGCGTCAGCAGCACCAGCTCCACAGAATCCATGTTTGGTTATGAGTGCCCCATGGTGTCTCAGCTCCACAGAATCCATGTTTGGTTATGAGTGCCCCTATGAGTCAGCCCCATGATGTCTCAGCTCCACAGAATCCATGTTTGGTTATGAGTGCCCCATGGTGTCTCAGCTCCACAGAATCCATGTTTGGTTATGAGTGCCCCATGATATCTCAGCTCCACAGAATCCATGTTTGGTTATGAGTGCCCCATGATATCTCAGCTCCACAGAATCCATGTTTGGTTATGAGTGCCCCATGATGTCTCAGCTCCACAGAATCCATGTTTGGTTATGAGTGCCCCATGATGTCTCAGCTCCACAGAATCCATGTTTGGTTAGAATCCATGTTTGGTTGAGTGCCCCATGATGTTTGGTTATGAGTGCCCCCATGATGTCTCAGCTCCACAGAATCCATGTTTGGTTATGAGTGCCCCCATGATGTATCTGCACCATATTAGTAGTGCAGTGCCCCATGATGCATCTGCACCATATTAGTAGTGCAGTGCCCCATGATGTCTCAGCACCATATTAATAGTGCAGTGCCCCATGATGTCTCAGCTCCACAGAATCCATGTTGGGTTATGAGTGCCCCATGATGTCTCTGCACCATATTAGTAGTGCAGTGCGCACCCGACTGGAGAGAGCATCCTATCATCTCTTAATCTTGAACATCAGTGAGTGGAAGTTGGTGTGATGAACAACGGGGAACGTTCTATGGATACGTAACTTCTTTATTATAATGTTTCCGTTATAAAGAAACTACACAAAAACATTTACATATTAATACAGAAGTTGTATACATAGAACTTCCCCGTTGATCTACCCAGTGATAATATTGCTGTTTGAATTTGATCCAACGACCACTGGGCCTGGTTAAAAATCTGGATTTGAACTCCGATGAAACCAGCATCACCACTAAAAAAGGAAAATGTGTTATTGTCTCAATATTGTGTGATGACGAGGATGTGACCATGGTGACCAGACAACAGACGGAGCATAGTATACGCTGAACCTTTGAGGCAATTTCGGGATGACATTGAGACTAGCAAATGTGGGAACCTGATAAACAGATGAGCTCTCCCATCAGGAAACTTTACACACTATGTTAGTGCACAAACCAGTTATTTTCATCGCTACATTCCATGAGGGTGAAAACCCGCACCCATTGTTTTCATGGTCTGGCTCCGTCAACCTGACCCCGGTTCAAGAAGGTTTATCCTGGACCCATTGCGACTGTAACAATGTCGGAATAGCAGAGCTCTCCTCTACCGCCAAGAGTAAAAATACAAAACTGGGATAAAGTTTCCACATTGTTGGTAACAGTAAGTCAATGACGAAAGGCGTGAAAATAAATGAGTTTAATGTCATCTAGTTGAGTGTTTCCATGCGCGGCTGAGAACGTACCATCAGTCACCCCCACTGATATCACCTCATGAAAGACGAACCATGTTCCTCTCTATCACCTTCACTGATATTACCTCATGAAATACGAACCATGTTCCTCTCTAATACCCCCACTGATATTACCTCATGAATTACGAACCATGTTCCTCTCTAATACCCCCACTGATATTACCTCATGAAATACGAACCATGTTCCTCTCTAATACCCCCACTGACATTACCTCATGAATTACGAACCATGTTCCTCTCTAATACCCCCACTGATATTACCTCATGAAATACCAACCATGTTCCTCTTTATCACCCCCACTGATATTACCTCATGAAATACGAACCATGTTCCTCTCTATCACCCCCACTGATATTACCTCATGAAATACGAACCATGTTCCTCTCTATCACCTTCACTGATATTACCTCATCAAAGACGAACCATGTTCCTCTCTAATACCCCCAATGATATTACCTCATGAAAGACGAACCATGTTCCTCTCTATCACCTTCACTGATATTACCTCATCAAAGACGAACCATGTTCCTCTCTAATACCCCCACTGATATTACCTCATGAAGGACGAACCATGTTCCTCTCAGTCACCCCACTGATATAACCTCATGGAAGACGAACCATGTTCCTCTCAGTTCCTAGCAGATATATTCATGTTTATTGTACAACACAATTATCGTTTGAACAGAAGAGGAGCGTGCCCGAATCCGCCTCCAGACTGAGTGTTAACGTATTAAAGCAAGTGCCCTTGTAATAACTTCTCTTTAACATATATTTGTTTGTTATTTGACAGAACATTATAGGCCACACAGTTTACAGGACAAAGCTGCGACAGCTGAAGGATTGTTGAGATGTAATTACATTAAGGCATTATCTATGATAACTCCCACAAACATAACTGAGGAAGATTGCTGGGCATGACGTGCATAAAGGATATCAAGTGTGTAAGAGTCCTGTTGGTGCAAGTCCGTGCCAGACTGGCTGTTTTGTCTTCACACTGAAGCGTTATCGCAAAGTAAAGAGCGTGGTAGCGGCTATAGGAGACATCAATTATATACTGTGGGAGTCGACTTGTATACAGGCACTCAGGGACATGGAACGCTTGTCCACGATATTGTGCTATTAGCTCCAGTTAACACGATAAATATTAATGGAAATCGTGCAGCATTGGCTTGGAAGTAAAAAAACAGATGGAAGAGTCAAAGTTCAGAGAGAACGAAACTGTTTATTTCTGTCCTTCACTTGAAATTCTGCTGCTGCCTTTATGCTTTGAAGATGACGCTGACAACGTTTTCAGCACTTGTGTCGTCGCTGGTGGCTCGACAAACGTAGTTGGTTACGCCTGACGAGCTAGGGCTTGGCACCGGGAACTCGGAGTACATCACGTATCTGTAAGTGCGAGAGGGATGTCAGAAATAGCACAGTAATGTCAGGATCATGCTATGGAGTATCTTCCTTTGTGGGTGGTGGGGTAGCTTAGGGGTTAAAGCGTTCGCTCGTCACGCTGAAGACCCGGGTTTCATTCCCCACATGGGTACAATGTGTGAAGACCATTTCTGATGTCCCCCTCCGTGATATTGCTGAAATATTGCTAAAAGCGGCATACAACTAAACTCTTTCACTCTTTGTTGCCTGGTGCTGCAGTCAGCAATATTCCAACTAAGTTTATGTCAAGGTTGAATATAATCGCATCTAGACCACACAAGCCTGTGACTGACATGAACCACCCCAGCCCAATAACAGGGGTACAAACACGTTACGTCTCACTGGCGAGGTTAGTCACCGTACGACTACAAACATATATTCGTGGTTTGTCTGGTCCACAACAGGTTACAGACAGGCCGTCGATATGGAGCAGGAATGATACTGACGGAACGCTGACTACCACCATTACAATACACAATACACCTGGCGTCACCAACACTACCTTCTCAGCAACCCGTCAAGCTCCGGGTTAGAATGTGCCTTCAGTAACCCATGCTTGTCGTAAGAGGCGAATAACGGGATTGGGTGGTCAGGCTCGTTGACTTGGTTGACACATGTCATCGGTTCCCATTTGTGCAGATCGATGCTCGTGCTGTTGATCACTGGATTGTCTGGTCCAGACTCGATTATTTACCGACCGTCGCCATATAGCTGGAATATTGCTGAGTGCGGCGTAAAACTAAACTCACTCACTCACCTCAGCACCTCGACTGATGACATGTAGACACACCCACACTGCAGATCGATTATCCAACTTGGGTTGCAATGGAATGTGACGTAAAACAACACTCACTCAACCCCATGTTACTTTGTTGTGTATAATGCTACCTACCCGAGGTTCACGTTGTAGGGCGTGGTGTCCACCTCGGTCTCCACCCCACTCCTGTCTCTCACCCACAGCCTCATAGACCGGAGCCCGTCCCCAACAGCTATACAGGCGACGGCACAGGGTCCCCCCACACTGCACTCTCGACCCCTCGTCAGCCCATTGCTGATGAAGCCGATGAACCCAGGAGGGAAAGGCTCGGCATGGTCAGCCCTCCTAATGAAGAACTTGTGACCTTCGTCCACTGCAGAAACGGGCGAGGCGTCCTCTGTAGATTCCACGGTAACCAAAACAGTCAAAAGTCCTTCATAGTCCTGTTTGTCAGTGGCAAGATACATCTGAGCACCAACTGACGTCTCATTCTCAAGATGTTTGAGCTCTGTGATTGGTGCACGTGCTGATCCTCCGTCAGCGACGTCAGAAAACTCATTCACCTTTTGCGGGTTGGCGTAATCGTCAACAGCAATCAGTTGCCAATGAACGCTGCTAATTTTGTAATTCGTTGTCTGTTTGGGAACGCTGAAAGTTTCTTTAACGGCTTCGCCATATTGATAGATGACGTCAGGAGCGTGGGAAAAAGTGATCCCAGATGTTGGGACGTTGACCTCGACCTCCGCCGACCTCCCAGGCTGCTGTTTGAAGTGGACGTCGTAATACATGGACTCCACGTCTAGGAACACGCTCACGACTTCTTCCTGCCCTTGTGTCCGGAGGGAGGCCTCCCCGACTCTTCCAACAAACACAATATTCACCTCGTGCTGTTCATCAGCTAAAACATGAATTTTGAAAAGTAAATTCCACGAATCTGTATGGTGATAGATGTCTGAAATGGGGCGTCTGCTTTAATGGATTATCTCTATTAATGGTAAATGAGTGAGTGAATTGGGTTTAGCAGAGTGGCTGCTTCATAGGGGAGAAAACCCTGAAGCAATGCAAAACGTATTTAGAACTTGACATGCTTCTGGGAAGCAACACAACACCATTATACCATTAATTTAAAAGCACATGTGCAGATTGAAAACTATTCTCTTAATTTTGGCGTGATAAATGACAAGAGACTCTGAATTGTTCAGACAAGGAACTCGGTAAGAGCAGCACGACTTACAGAAGCCCAGTTGTTAAAACATTGGCTCGCCTGTCGTAGACCATATAAATGCAGTCTGTGACTTAAGTTCATTATTGGACTCACGTATAACAATCCTGGGACCATTCCTCCAGAATACCGTTGGGTGTTCGTCCGCATTGAAGTGCACGGTGTATATCGTAACGCCGACCTCTTTCTTCACTTCAGCCTTGACAAGGTGAAGTTCACGAGAAGCCTTCTGGAAGAGGAAACAAGTTACGTACACTAAACTAGACTGATAGGACCTGGACTGATACCCACACTAGACTGATAAGTCCAGGACTGATACCCACACTAGACTGATAAGTCCTCCTGGACTGATACCCACACTAGACTAATACATGCTGAACTGATAAGTCCTGGAATGATGCGCACACTAAGGCCTAGAGAACCGCTACGGTTCCGGGAATACTTACTGAAAGTTTCTTTAGCTCCTAGCACTCTCTTTCGTGCAGTGGGGTTTGGTGTTTCTCGTTGAAAGAATGACATCACAACTCAACGCTGAATCCTACTTTGTAGATTTGTATGTAAATACCTGCTCGCGCGGTGAAGAGAATGGGGATTCTGCCTGGACAGAGGAAACGTTATAGTTCGAGCCCCTCTCGTGTAGCACTGAAATACAGTGCCATAAGCACACTATACGTGTTCAAAACACCCTGCCTGGTGCTCGGTAGTTGGACATAAGACTGGCCGGCTCCTAGTATACTGGGTGTGAGGCTACTGCTGAGTGAACGCATATGACAGTGATAACAACGAACACATACAAGTAGAAACTGTGATAATCTGTATGACGGTGTTATCATTGTCCTCCAAGTTATCAAAACTTCAACAATTTGCTCAGTATATGTACCAACTGTCTCAGTGTCGTAACGTTTCAAGAATTAGATTGGTCTGCAAATATTAATGCATTAATGTAATTAACAGCTCATATACTTCATGTAATGATGTTAATCAAAGGCTAGACATATATACAAGTAAGTAATATTTCTGTACACCCACTTGCTTTGTACCATATGTTGCTGGCCTTTCAGTATTTCAGAAACTTGACTTAGTGTTTGATTTTTGCATAACCACGTATTGTATGGGTTTAATATTTACAACAGGACGACCTGGGCTACTTCTTGTCCCTTCATCAGGTGAATGATAGAATATGATAACGAGCAAAATATATAGTATGTACAGGAGGCCAGTGAGATGGAATTACAGACTGAGATGTACAGAGCTAAAGGAGATTATAAGTGGTATGTTTATGCAACAGATTAGATTGGTATGTACAGAGTGTTTATGCAATGAAAAGGATATACATGATAGGAGATACATTGATTGGAAGCCACTTATGAAAACAGTGGTAACACCAAAGCATGTACAGTGATTAGGAGGATTACGGGGAAACATGTACAGTGAATTAGAAGTTTATTTTTCTATGCACCAAGCTTTCGGTAGGAAAACAGCCTGATCCCTGTTAATTTCAAGTTTCGCGCGGTGGATCCAGATGGCGTCCATCAATTTATCAAGAAGTAGCCCAGAAACCTCGTGATATAAATATTAACGAAGCTGTAAATCCATACCATACGTTGTTATGTTACCTTCCAACTTCTAAATGTCCGTCAAGCATCTGTTTGATTTTTGCACATAAGTAAAAAAGAACCGTGCCAATATATATGCCTGGATCTGCCTTCTTTACTCAGCCCACGTCTCCCTTCTGTCCGAGATACACGATGACTAACCCGTCCACACACGTTTGCCGAGTACACAGAGTGCTCAAGGAAGACGTCTGATTATTTCACTTATCGACTTTACAGTGTCATCCATCCATGGATTTTCTTGTGGAAATCGCGAGACACTGCGACGCCATATCAAAACGATACCAATTAATTATATTTTGACGAATCCATAAGACTCGACAGAATCTCTTTTGCCTTTTTCTCTTAATATCGACAATATCTCAAGCTTCAGATAATGTACTTACATCCAATAGTTGCCTGTACAGGGATATCAAGAGATCTCACTGTGTAGGAAGGTAGAGATCAAGAGTGACTTACCCCTTCATACAGCAGACCTTGTATGATTCCAAACACCAGCAGCGCCACAGCTCCCTTGGATGCCATGTTCCCCTTCAGCTGCACTCACAGTGTGATTTTACCATCATAACGCCCTACCTCCCAAGTACATGACAGGTTGACATTGAAATATACTCTCATACTGGTCATTATCGGCTATAATTACCAGAATTATAATTACATAATGTAACCAGGTTCATTAGTACATCACACCCTCTGCTGCATAATCAACAGAACATTAATGATGGGGAAACAGCACAGTGGTTGCCTCTACATCACTGTCTAGTTCTATAGTGACATGCCTTCCATCCATCTATGTATTTTCGCGTGAAATATCTCCTTAAAGTTCACTTCATTGTACGATTAATACTGAATCATATGCATGAATTTATAAATAATTTTTAAATAATGTTTATAACAGGTTTTAGCAAAGCATTGGTCGTATCCCGCACCACCGGAGGCGCTCGTCATAAATGCATGTACAGGCAAGTCAATTCTTCACCTGAGAAGCTGCAGAAATATATGGTACATGTAATTGCACCGGGCATCACTTGCTCAGTGATACATCAAATTTGGAAATGTCATCTGTGAACCATTTTGAAAACCTCTTTAAGGCGTTGATTGTTGCAACGGGGTACGGAGAAAACGGACCCCAAAAATATCGAGAAAACGGCCACCGCGCTGGAGCGAACGGCCTCCGGACCAAGAGAAACGGCCTCTGTGCCTAGAGAAAACAGCCAACATAGTTGCACCAAGATCGAAGGATATTAGGTGATTATATATATCCTAAATAATAGAGATTTACTTCATTGCGGATAAGATTTTTAAAAGTGATTGGTTGTTTTGTTTAGTTTCGGTATCCATAGCGGTTTAACCTTTGAAGATTGATTGTCTCGATAGTCCCGATGAACAAACCAATTTGATTGATTGTACATTTTACAGGTAAGACTAGTTGATGAGGTAGTGTTTATATTGACGAGCGGATTAGTAGTACTAATTCCAAAATTTGTTCTTGTAGTTCTTCCATGGTCTCTAGTATGGTGATCTACCTTCAGTTGTTGGTAATCTATAGCCTGTTTTTTATATTGTACTGTCATCTATAGTTCAAACGTTTTAAATATAAATTCTAGTTTTAAGTTCATATCTGCGATATACTAGTTGTTTTACTGTCCTTCAGTGACAGGTGGTTAGTTATCACGAAAATATAATTTGTTTTTAGTCACAATATGGCTTAAATATTGCCGGTGTAACTTGAAAATCAGGTCAAGATACCCAATCACCCTGCTACTTCATGTGTACTGACTGACATGAGAGTTAGAAAACAGGTTAATAAAAGAATGGATAGATCATCTTATCTAATACTTTCACCGCCAGCTACTGAGTAATCATAACATTTTCTCGTGTTTATTCAATAATGAAATGTTGACGGGTGAAGGAGGCAAGCCCGGAATATTCCTTTCCGGTCGACTGGCGCTACTGTTGAGAAGATAATGACAGACACGCTTGACCCTGATCAGCCAACCGGCATCCATTTCTATCGGTTTAAGAAATAATTTATATTTGATACACAGGGTTCATATTTATTCTAGGTATCCCTTTCATACCCGTATCACCATATGTGTGATCAATAACAAGAAATGTTAAAATATAGCATTATAACATACTCATGCCAATAATGGTTGTCACCCCCTCCCCACCCCAACCCTACACACACCTCACCCCCATCCCTCTCCCATTAAAAAATTGAAGGGGGTGACAACCATTATTGGCATGAGTATATATATTGCATTATTCAGCGACAAACAAATGAAGAGTTGTAAATAAATTATACAGAAGTACAACTTGTACATGTACAACTTAAACCTTTGCCATGACTATGTTATCATTGGTGTTGCCTCCTTATTATGATATTGATTTAGAGATGAATAACAGTAAAATAAGATACATGTAGTTTTCTGTTATATATAATGGCCGTTATCTCTAGGCAAAGAAGCCGTTTTCTCTTGCAGCGGTGGCCGTTTTACAGAAATATTTTTTGGCCGTTTTCGCTGGGGTCCGTTTTCACTATAACCCGTTGCAACCGTGGTAAAACAAGTTCTTGGCACAAGCCGTGTGACGCTCACTAAACTTTCGGTAGTAAACGATTGTTCCTCTGTACGTTACACAGTGTGAAACGCAAAGAACAAAAACTGGAGTTGAAGGAATATTGTTGGAAAAAAGGTAAGATTTGATTGTTCAATGTCCATTGTCCATAATCACCACGACGTTTACCGCAGCTTTCATGGCGTGGTGTGACCACAAGTGGCTGTGGCTACCAAACACACGAGGAATGTTACACACTTATACTTTCTTGAAAGTATTCTGTGATCACCCAACCCGACTATCAGCATATGATCAACACTATCTCAGCTGTTCTTGTTTTCAAAAAGACCACCTCCGTGGTGTAGTGGTTAGAGTCCGCCCTGAGAGCGGAAGGTCGCGGGTTCGATCCCCGACCGCGTCATACCAAAAGACGTTAAAAATGGTACTTGTTGGTCCCGGCCTGGCGCTCGGCATTAATGGGTACAACAAGGACTGGTTGGCTCGGAGTCAGTATAATGTGTCTGAGTGGGGTATTCATGCTTCACTGCGGCATGGTATCTCAGTGGGCTAGCACTATAAAACCAGCTTCAGTCTGGGCTAGTACAAGCAGCCGCACATACGCATACACACACATGAGCGAAATATTCTCAAGCACGACGTTAAACCCAATTTCACCTCACCTCGCCTTGTTTTCAAAAATCTCTGGAGGTAACTTAACAACACCAGGAACTATAGTGGTCAAGTTTCTATAGTTTGTCAGCAGTAGTTCGAAATATTTGATGGATATCTGATCTAGTTGTTCGATAAAAAAAATACCTCCCTTGAGAAAATGTAGTTATTGTATTTTAATAGTATTGACCCAAGGCCCGTTTCTAATGATGAGAGCTGATGCAGTAATTGCTGTATTATAAATTAAGTGTTACATTTGTAAACATAATCATCTCTCACCGTGTGCATTACCGACATACGTGACAGTGTGATTAGAAGCCAAGTCAAACTAAAGTCTGATGTAGCAATTATTCTCTTAACGACAATGAAATCACACTAATTTCCACGGTGACTCGGTGAACTAAAGTGTCGCTTCATGCTTAAATAGCTACAGGAAAAGACATACAATCATCTCGTCATTCATGTCGTGTTTCATTCTGGTTGGACTAACTTACAGCGACAAGCCCCTTTCCAAAACAGAAAAAAATCTGTCCTGGACTGATCTGTAAAATATATTTTATTCCGGACTGACTCAAACCAACTTAAACTTGAAACAAAGACGAGGACATGTAGTCGTAGGATCACAACGGTATAATCGTACAATATTACACGTGAATCGTGCAATATGTGTTAATGGGGGCTGCTACCGGGACAATAAAACACGTTCACCTAACACCTGATGGAATCAATTTACTAATGAATTCGTACAATTTTCACCAATGTTTTGCTGTTTACGCTCCATGGAACCAGTTGCCTTCATATAAAGCAGTGACGACAGTGTTGGAACTGACCACGTACGCTGAAACCAAAGTAAATTGTTCAGAAGTATTTTCTTGGCGAGTCCACCATGTATTTTATGTTCCATATCACCCGACACGCGGACGCAGAAAGGAAACTGTGATTGCGGTCTGCAAGAACTATACTCCTTGTCCATATGTTCACTTTAAGAAACAGCAATGTTAAAGTAACAATATGTGTTGGACATATGTTGTTATGAGTCAATTTTACAAAATTGTCAAAGTTAACCTGAAAGCTAACGTCGGCCTTAACACTATACCAACAAACAAAATGCTGATTTTCCAAATTTAAAGTTTGATGACACAGCGTTACCCCCTACACAGATGCTTCCAGAAGTGTCTGTGCCGGATTATGGATTATGCAGTCTGATCTCGAATCTTCCAGTTTACTGTTGGGTCTCAGTCTGAACAAAGCAACACAAACGCCATTGTCCCCTACTGAATCCTAACAGAAATAAGGCCATACAATATGTATGATGTGTTGATTCCAAGGTAGACACCTTAACGTTAACGGGAATCGGTCCTGTAAAGAACTAGGTGTGAAACCGGCAAACATCAATGTCGCCGGCAGCTGGATTTCGTCTTTCTTCTGTCCTGCGGCTGCCGCTCAACTATCAAATTATAAGAAGTTATACGTGCTACCTGTATCTGACGCACAGGTAATTCACGAGCGTTTGCCTGTGACGTCAGGACAATTTGAACTCACTTTCCATTGTCACCTGCCTCAGACGACGGCAGACAGATATCACCTTTTCATATTGTTGATGTTTCTACTTACAGGTAAGCACTCTCCTTATATGTTCATTTTACATCTACCTTTAGTTGCTAGTATAATAATTATACCTACTATGTTACTTAATTACCAATCAGGCAATGTAATCATAAAGTTAGTAAATCTACGTATTGGTCGCGTATAATGTAAATATCCCGCTCATCGCTATTACAAACTTAAACATTGCACTATTATAGCACGTAAGTGAGTGTGTGAAAGGCATACATTATATAATTCATGTATATTTCATATCAGGAAAAGACCGCCTCCGTGGTGTAGTGGTTAGAGCGTCCGCCCGGAGAGCGGAAGGTCGCGGGTTCGATCCCCGACTGCGTCATACCAAAAGACGTTAAAATATGGTACTTGTTGGTCCTTGCCTGGCGCTCGGCATTAATGGGTACAACAAGGACTGGTCGGCTCGGAGTCAGTATAATGTGTGCTAGTGGGGTATTCAGTGGGCTAGCGCTATAAAAGTAGCTTAAGTCTGGGCTAGTACAAACAGCCACACATACACACGCATGCACGTCGTCATATGAGCGAAATATTCTCAAGCACGACGTTAAACCCCTATCATCTCACCACCACCTCACCTCACACCGACTACACACAGCTGGACGGAAGCCCTATTACGTACATCAAATGGGGCTATAAACAGCCGAACGGCGTCTGTTGGAATAACTGCCTTTGTATCAGGCGACGTCGCTTCTATGATATACCGTGTGACAATCCAAGATGGGCCATCTGTGAGTTCCCCTTGTAAAACCTGATAGGAACTATGTGTCGCAACGTTTTAATTCATCACTATTTTACGAATGCACGGTTTGCACGGATCCACGACCGGCATGGTATGTACGGCCTCCACAGTCTACACGGTTTGCACGGTCTCCCCGGTTTGCACGGATCCACGACCGGTGTGGTATGCACGGTCTTCATGGTTTGCACGGATCCACGACCGGCATGGTATGCACGGTCTCCACGGTCCGCACTGAATACGGCTATACTCAGAGTGGTCGCTATACCATAAAATCAGAAGCAATAATGATTGAATATTGGATTATACTTATATACGTATGTGGCGTTACTGTCCAAACCAGAGTTGTCTGTAGTTCGTATCGTTATGGCAACCACACTGGCGTCTGATGCCAGGCCAGCATTGGTTAATGCGGTCTTGCCTTAGCTCAGATACATTGCGCTCACTCACTTCCTGAATGTGAGCGCTATGGATCTTAGGTAGTCTAAGGGGGTTCGAACCCACCGAACCCCACCTTGGCTCCGCCATTGCGAAACGTTAACTTAAATGTGGACTTTAGTCATTTTCAAAAGGGGGTGGGGGTTTCGGAACACGACCTTTCTCCCCCCCCCTTTTTGAAAATGACTGCTTACCAATATAGAAGGTTTCCTTCTTACAAATCACTGGATTGTCGGTGCGGTTGGGTATGTAGGAGCATGCGTGTACAGGATCTACCTTTCTGAATGATACGTGTTAGGTGTAAATGAAACTCTGTGTGTAGAGTCAAACTTTCTTATAGTTGAGTTTGTTCGAGTCGTCTATTTGTACGTGGGTTTGTGAGTGTGTACATTTCTAATGTTCGTTTGTGAGTCAGTGTATTCATTTGAAATTGCGGTTCTGCGTACGTGCGTTTGTGTTTACCTCTGATTGTATAGTCAAAAGGTAGAACCATCAACGTGAAACGTGATGCTCCCATACTACATACAACTATTGTTATAAGGTAACAATGCATCCCTAAATCAGTAAGAGAATTATATCAGACTCCGAATATAGAATTTCAGTTTGGCTCATGACTGATACCGGCTAGACACGGTTGGGAGACAGAAAGTCTAAAGATAATGGCGTTTGGTCGTAAGTTAGATATATGTCTGTTGTGAGAGACAGAACACAATAACAGTTCAATAATAGGGAAATGTTACCGAACCGTACTTACCGATCATTTCCAATCATAATATTCATGAGTGCTGGGATGGATATAGCATTAACCAATCAAAACGATGAGTTAAAACATGTGAGCAAGATCAGGCCAGACTCGAACCCTATAAAAAGATAGGTTTGGCACTGAGCCAGGGGTGCGCGCATTTTTAGTGACGGAAGCCAGTCCACACCACTCAGTTGCCCCGTGTGGTACGAGCCTACCCTGTCTGTTGATGAAGTTGTATTTAGAGATGGACTGAGACAGAGTAAACTATGTGAGTATAACTTGGTGTTGTGTTTATCTGTGAGTGTATGTGAGCCAGTACATGAATGTAATGCGGGTAGCTAGGAGTCATGGTCGTCCGACCCCTCACTCCTGGACTCAGCATCCTGCAACAGACCAAGCGAGTGGAGCGCCCGAGCTGCAATGGTCCTCTGACAATGGGAACGGCCACAATTAGTAGGTAACTGTTGTAGGGTACACTAGCGCCCAAACTCCAGTTACGACACTATCAGCCGGAGTGAGTGAGTGAGTTTAGTTTTACGCCGCACTCAGCAATATTCCAGCTATATGGCGGCGGTCTTTAAATAATCGAGTCTGGACCAGACAATCCAGTGATCAACAGCATGAGCATCGATCTGCGCAATTGGGAACCGATGACATGTGTCAACCAAGCCAGCGAGCCTGACCACCCGATGCCGTTAGTGGCCTCTTACGACAAGCATGGGTTACTGAAGGTTCATTCTAACCCGGACCTTCACGGGTCTATCAGCCGGAAGTCAGCATTTATTTGCAGCTAGAAATAGTTCGTCCGAGTTGTGAGATATGGACCCTTGTGTCTCCAGGAGGTATAACGTCAATATTTCGTGTGTGCGTATGTGTACACTGAAAAATCGTTCTCGATGGTGTGTGTGTGGCCATCGTATCTATTGATCTCAGGTGTGTGTGTGTGTGTGTGTGTGTGTGTGTGAGAGAGAGAGAGAGATAGCTATGAAACTATTATCACGAACGAGTGCGTGTGTGCGTGTTTGAGTGCAAATTGGTACTTTGACTTCGAGAGTAGTTGTGTGTGCGTGCAAATTGGTACTTTGACTTCGAGAGTAGTTGTGTGTGTGTATGTGCAAATTGCAATTATGAACTCGACCGGAGGTTCTCATGTTCACCGGTGTGTAACGCCGTATTTCAGTGTGGTGGAGGTTTACTGCCACAGTAGGACATCAACCTCCCTATACGATGGTCGTTCTTGGTCAGATTTGTGACGTGTGTGGGCCACGTGCTACCGCAATAGTTTCATGTCTTGTGGTGGAAACATGATCAACTCACCGCAACATGATCAACTCACCGCAACATGATCAACTCATCTCAACATGATCAACTCACTGCAACATGATCAACTCACCGCAACATGATCAACTCACCGCAACATGATCAACTCACCGCAACGCAACATGATCAACTCACCGCAACATGATCAACTCACTGCAACATGGTCAACTCACCGCAACATGATCAACTCACCGCAACATGATCAACTCACCGCAACATGATCAACTCACCGCAACATGATCAACTCACCGCAACATGATCAACTCACTGCAACATGATCAACTCACCGCAACATGATCAACTCACCGCAACATGATAACTCGCCAAAACATGATCAACTCACTGCAACATGATCAACTCACTGCAACATGATCAACTCACCGCAACATGATCAACTCACCGCAACATGATCAACTCACCGCAACATGATCAACTCACCGCAACATGATCAACTCACCGCAACATGATCAACTCACCGCAACATGATCAACTCACCGCAACATGATTAACTCACTGCAACATGATTAACTCACCGCAACATGATCAACTCACCGCAACATGATCAACTCACCGCAACATGATCAACTCACTGCAACATGATCAACTCACCGCAACATGATCAACTCACCGCAACATGATCAACTCACCGCAACATGATCAACTCACCGCAACATGATTAACTCACCGCAACATGATCAACTCACCGTAACATGATCAACTCACTGCAACATGATTAACTCACCGCAACATGATCAACTCACCGCAACATGAACAACTCACCGCAACATGATCAGCAATTCCAAATTTATTGACAACCTGCAGGCTCAGCGTCAAGCATGGGGTACTGGGACCTCGTCTGATCTCTGGAATGTTGTCCCGGAATGTAGATTTCTAGAAGTAACGCTGAAATATGACGTCTACAACAATGGTTACAGGAGTTTAATAGTAAAATGTTTTTGAAGCTTACACACTGCCCCACTGGACTAGACACTGGTCACGTGACTGTTTGAACGACATACTTTCACAAGTGTGCAAGTTCATCAGGTTTCCAAAAGAATGTATTCTTGAACTGATATGCATTTCGGCTTATTCTTCCAAATCTCTTGGGAAACACGAATAGACACTAAATAGCGTTGTTTCAGATCTTAAGGCCCTTTATTCTGAACAAAATATTAAAGCATAATTTGGGATATGCCAGACAGTTTAATTGCATGTCCACTCAAGAATATCTGCTCTTCGACCTGTTCCAGTGAGGGAAAGAAAGAAATGCAAATCCTAACTGTGGACTCGATCAGTGTTTAACTGACACGTGACCCCCTCTTGAAATCTATCAATATATCTTAGCATCTGTTTGACATATATTTGCAGTCAGTGACCGGTCAGTTGGTCAAGGATGAGTAACACTTGTAATGACCACATGTATGATCACCATCTTCCCTCCCCTCACGCCTCTCATGGCGGCCATTTCACGTCATGTTTTCATATATTCAGACTCGTTGTCACTCTGACTTACTAACTGAAGTAGTCCGTAAGAAATATTTCATCTATTGATTTCATCTCCTTGAATCAACTTGTAACTCTACAGCAAGAGGTGTTCCCTTAGAGCATGTTTAGCGTACATTCCCTGATTTAAGTTCTGATCACCTTTTGAAGAACAATTGTACTCCGCTTCGCACTATGGCTATCAGAGTGAAACTCTTAGCCACACGTACCACATGAAATTACGACATATAGTCCTTAAGGTGTACAATTGG